TGGCAGGAAGGAAGAGGTGACATGGTGAGCTTTGTTTTTTCACAGACAGCTAGGCCTGCAGGTTTCACGTGTACTCCTGGAATAAAATTGGACTGTTCCTAGCAAAAGCAGCAATTCTTGTGACCTAACATACAGCATCCCCAGATCTGAGCTGGGACATTGCAGCCTGGAGGAGTGAACTAGCAGGTCTGTAGAAAAAAAGTAAGCAGTCAAAATCCACACAATGGCTGTTTATTTGAATAAGTTGATAGTGAAGATATTCCTGTCCTGGTATACAGCAGTACTTGAAAAAACATTCAGTGGACTAAGAGTCATAATTCTTTTCTCATTAAAAGGAAGTGAAACACCTTCATGCTCTTTTGGCGTGTGTTCATTTTTGCAATGCAAAAATAGATGTCCATGTATCACTAAAGTAAGCAAATGTCAATCTGATTGTGTCCAGCAAGGATAAAATGGGAATAAAATGGTTGTTTTGCTGCTTTGCCCTTTATCTATGCAAGATAGAAAGCCAAGTATAACCTCCCTGATTGAAAGCCCACAACTGCATTTGAGATCCCAAAGAAAGCTATTTATTGCTGGTTTACTCAACCAAGTTCACCCTCTGGGATTACCCTTTGTGATTGGGAAAGAAAGAATTTAGTTTGATTTCTTCATTTGGAAAATTTTTTGCTCGACTAGCAACAAGACTCCTGGGTCACTAAGCAATAGTGTTCTGCCCTAATTGCCTTCAACTTATTTATGTTTCTAGTCAGGCCCTTGGTAGTAGTTTTTTCCAAATTATGCAAAGTTGATATTCTGCTGCCCTGCAAAGCAGAATAATTTATAGAATGTTTCTATGTAGAAACTACTTTCAAACATTTTACTTCATATAGAAACCTTAAGGTTTTTCTTTAAAAAGTATGAATTGACACCAAGGAACTCTGATTATTTTGGTTCCCCCTAATCTTATCTGTCTCCCCTCCACACAAACTTATTTGTTCTCTTTTTGCATTGACTAAGAATATAGACAAGTGGCAATTTGAGAAAATATCAACTCAATCTCCCAACTCTGCCTACACCATAGACAAAAATAAATGTGTAACTAGAATGTGATGTATAATACATGCAGTCTATGAAACATATCTAAGTTTCTCCAAATCTGTGAGAAGGTGTAGAAGAAAGAAACCCAAGTGACTCTGTGTGACTGAGTACACGATGCTCATTTAGGCAAAAGCATGTTGGGTGGTATTATCATCTCCTGGTATTCTGAATGGTGCAATTTCTGTTGGGAGATTCATCAGTGCACAGGTCCTGCATCAGAGGGGTCCTTCAGCACCACACAACAAGACTGGCACTGCCTCCTAAACAATTCTGCTTTTAAATAGGAAGTTGTCTAGGAGGAGGAAGAGAGCAATGTTTTTTACTCAAATATTATTTCAACTTTTTTTTATATATCCTGTTTTAAGATCACTGCCTTTATGCTGTAATAGACTTTTTTCCAGCTACTTCCTAGCTCTGGGTTTGTTTTGAACTGCCCTCCTGAATGACACCAAGTGTACTGCTCTCCCACTCTTACCTTCCCACTTTCTTATATGCTGTTCCTTATGCTTAGAAATCCTTGTTCTCCATGCCAAATATCCTCCCAATCTATATTCACATTCTTCCTTTAAGCTGCATTTCCTTAAAGTTTATAAAAAATAATCTTCAAGTTAAGAAATATAGCAACTATGCATTGAGATCTGACAGTCTTCTGATCATCAGATTTGCTACTGTTGGCAGCTGAATTCTTTAACTTATACATAATACTGAATAAATCAGGGATTCATTCTTCCTTAATATCACATGTACTATCTTTTTCACAATATATGTATATTTAAAAATTTTATTTTGAAGTACTTCAAAGTTCATCCCAATGGGTTTCCTAGAGGCCACCTGCCTGAGCAGTGCTTTTTGTTGTCTTCTCGCTTTTCCAGCTGAAAGCCCATGATGAGGAAAAAAAAATAGGGCATTAAGACATCCCTCTTATAAGAGAGCTGAGTCAGGTTTCTTAGGTGCAGACTTAATGAGATAAAATTGCCATTTTGGAGTTCTGTCTCAAAAATATTTGTTCAAAGAAAAGCCCCAGAATGAATAAAAACTGCAAGTGAGGCAGAACATATTTTTTGCTGAACTTGTATGCAATTCTTAAAACCATTTGTTTTCATAGGGAGGTTGTGCTGCTTATAACCTCATTTCCTTATATTTTCATTAGTGCTAGATAAAAACCCCTTGAAAATAAAAAAAAAATTGCATCCAAACCAGAGTAACTTATAAAAGTTTGATGGATGCAACATTGACTCCTACTTGCCTCTAAAAAAAAAAAAAAAAGTGGTATTGGGAATTTTTCAGGCTATCTAAAATAGGCTTTCCTTAAAAGAAATGCCTTTTAAAAAAATCTGGGTCTACTAGTCTAAAAAGCTAGTGAAATACTGAAATACTTCTCCTCAGTGTTTCTAAAATATGTACATTCTTCATCTGTTTGCTGATTGTCTGCAGCATAAAATTCAGCCTAGAATTCTTGCAAGGCAAAAAAAGTCATTGTCAGCCACTCCAAAGATGCTTTGCTGCAAGAGAAATAAATCTAAACACTGACTGCTAACAAAACAGAAACTGTAAAAACATTGTTGAAACAAATGAAGTTGACATTTTACAGAAAGAAAAGTGCTATTTTTGAACACAGTTATGATCTTTTAGTAAGACTTAAATTTCCATTTAGCTATGTTGAAATGTTTGTCTGTGAGTGAAATAGGTCCAATTGCTTTTTCTCTTAATGTATCAAGGAAAAGCTAAAGCTGGGACCAGAATGGATCCTCTAGGAGTTAAGTGCAGAACTCCCAGAATAAATTTTCCGCTAAACCCTTTTGGAATTAGTTTTCAGGTTTCCTTAAACTCTGATGTAAATTTTTGATGCATAATCAAACCAAATGCTTTGTTGTAGGGGTTGGTCTTGTTGATAATGGAACAACATCACCTTTCACCCCCAAACCTTTTGGTTTTCAGTCTTAACAGTGTCATAACTACCCATTATTGGAGATATTCTCCCAGGATGCATGTCAGGCTGGACATGCATCAAAACATTTTACTTTCTGCCTGATCTAACTTTTCCTTTCTCTCATTCAAGCAGATTATTGAAAGCCATCCAGTTTTATGTGTTCCTGAGCTATGAGGAAAACAGGAAGCAGAAAAGGAGATTCTTTCCTGTCATGCTGCTCTGTAAATCAAGTCCTACATGTGTAGCTTGTAGTTCCAAGGACATTTGTAACCACTGAGTTTGAGGAGAGTTTTTTAGGAATTGTATTTTCTTCCAGCTTTTGCTAGTTTCTTCCTTTAAAATATTTTTGTGACAGAATTATTCACATTTAACCCTTGTCTCTGAGGCTGCAACCTGAAAGTGTTCTGATTGTCAATAATTTTTATTGAAGTCACTCAGGAATCTCAATACTTAGGAATTAGTCTCAGAACGAGAACAGATCCTTTGAATTCACACAGTGGTTGCAGATACCCTGCATGCCTCAATAGAATTGTTCTGTATCCTAAAAGGAGAAACACCACTTTGTCTTCCAGGTTTTCCCTCGAGCAGTTGTATGTATTTAGTGTGGCTGGAACTCATTGAAGTTATCACAGAGGTGCCTTATTTTTGTCCTGAGGCTATGGCTCTGTGGTTTGGTAAATTGGCTGAAGCAGGATCTTAATATTTTGCAAACTTGAGTACTTAACATGAAAAACCACTCTTTTGTCATAAAACTGAGGTGCAGTAGGAAACTACTAGTCAATTTTTTCCCTGTGTTGCAGACAATAAAGAAAATGTCTCCCAGTTTCCATGTAGGACCTTTTGTCACAAAGGGCAAGAATGTACATGAGTCAGCTTCAGTTGTGGCATTCTTTTTCCTTTTCCCAGTGAATGTTCCTATTATACAAAGATCTTGGAGTCCTAATGCAAAATTTCAAAGTGTTTCTATTTAGATAGTCTGCATCTGTTTTTAGGGGGTTTGTTTCTTTTGTTGTGTTGTGGTTTTGGGTTTTTAAAATTTTAGGGGATAGTTAATGTATGCCAACAAACTGTATATCTTAAGCTATAATCATGCTTTGTGTTTGAAAACACTTTTTGGGTACAAGCATAAGAAGAACACCCTGTTTTGCTCAGACTTTGTTTGAAGGAAGTTTACTGGGTCTTAAGTGCATCAAAGCTGCAAAATGTTATGTGAATTCCATGTGTTTTTACAGCTATACCAAAAGGAGTGCTAAAAGTTACCTTTTTAATTTGGTAGTGTTTTACAACCACTGTACAGGAAAAAAGTTGCAAAAAGCCACTCAGAATTGTGCAGTTCAGCTGCTGCACCAAGAGCAAGTAGCTCCTGTTTTGACAAACGAGACTTGACCACAGGCAGCATGAGGTCAAGAAATATTAATGAAATGCTTTCTTAAGTGGTTTTTTCTGCTCTCTTTTTGTGTCCCCTCGTTAGGATGTGACAGAGCATTTGGGGTCAGGTGCCCAGCTATCAGTGGGGATGGAGTAAAGCACCTTTCTCTGAGCCCTTGCTGACATGGACTCAGCCATGACTCAGCCAGGGGAAGTTAACTGATTATACTTAACTTTCTCTGCTATGGTAAAATAAGTTGCAGAGAGAACACACTGAAAGCCAAGGGCCTCTAAATACTTTTCCCTTTTATGGAATAGAGCTCCCAGATCTCCATTTCCTGGAGATTGTACTCTAAGCCTACACAGTGGTAAAAGAAAGTTCTCTGCATTCACTGATTTGTATCTGACTACAAATTTGAGCTCAGGGTATAATTTTTTTCCTAACTATTTTAAGCAGTAAGTTTATAATAACAGACCAAAATGTTCAAAGCACTCCATCCTCTCTCTTATTTCTTTTTCTTACTTTTGTTCTTTAGATTGTCTCCTCTTAGTGTAGGAATGAGCAGAATTTTGTGAACTGGATAGGTAATTTGTTTGTGTGTTTTTTTCACTCATTTTGTAGGTGCACAAGGCTCGTGCATACTGAAATTGTAGATCTTCACCCACGTCCACTCTTCCTGTGACATGTGAGTTAATTTCTACAAGTATTTAATTTTGAAAGATAATTTTGAAGCTTTTGTCATTTCTGAAAGAATTGAGTTTTGGGGGAGATCATTTACTTAGATAAAACACTAGAATAATCTAATTAAATAATTTGATAAGATAGAGGCAGGCCAGCGGGAGCTTGATCAAAGAAAAAAAAAAAAGAAATTAAATAGAAATAAGAGAATCTTGAAATTATCCCCGTGCCTAGGATGCTAGTATGTGTTCATGCACCTTAACTGTTTTCAAAGTGCAGGTGTATTTTTAAGCTCTCTTTTCAGAGTCTTCAGGGCCAATAATTACAGGTGTTTCAGTTGGTCCCTCACTGAATTCCAGATGTTGTTAACATCATTTCCTTCTTTGACTGAAACATGTCTGTTCTTGTGGAAAGGAGGCAAAGCTGGCAAAGCTCATGGTAGCATGATTCCAAAGGCTGTTCAGCTGGCAGGTGAGCCAGGCTTAGAAGCAGGCTAGTCAAGCTCTACACACTCTGTCTAGCTCAGGGTTCAGTAAGGCTGTCAGCTGGTCTTGTAAATAGAAGTGTGAATTTCTGTAAGCTCCAAGGCTGCACTCTGCCCTAAGCTGAAAAAGAAAAAAATGTACCTTCTGGTGACATAAATTTTCCAAGGACGTTTCTTTATCTTCTATCTGCATTTTTGAGATGCAGGTAAGCTCCTCTAATTCTTGGAGAGTGTTCTCACAAAACCTCTTAATTTTGTGCATTTTGACACCATTTGACACTTACTGGGGCTGTTTTCATTGCCCAACTAAAGGGGCATAAGGTCACTTGAGCAGTGATGGAAGAACATTTATTCACTAATATTTAGGTTTCCATCTTTTCTAAACCTTTGCCTTTCCTACCAGTGTAGGAGGCAGTAACTGATTAGAAAATGGCAGAACTCCTTGCAGAGCATGGTATTTACAATATATGATGTTTGTGCTGGGTAAGCATCATAGTCTTTTAAAAATATGGGCTACTGACTTTAAGAACACTGCCCAGGTTAAAATTAAGCTTTTAGTTTGAAAGTTAATTATTTTGGAATTCTAAATCATATCGTTTATTAACTGACCCACATCCTTATACTGAAATACCAAAATGCAGTACCCCTCACTTTGGCAGTCTAGTGGACTGCAGCAATGCAGTTGAGATGTGCAAAGATGGTGTTTGATTCAAGAAGCCTAAGAATATGAATAATTATGTGTAAGCCTTCACTGCTCCATTACAGTCCTCAGCACTGGGGTTTTCTGGAGTGGTACTAGGAAAAAATGGAAAGTCAGAAGAAGAAATTTTCCTACTAATCAGCACAGAGATTTGAAGCTTATTCCTATTTGCAAGATATCTCTGTAAGGAAATCAGAATAGGGTTCTAATTGTGTTGGAGACAGCCTGAACTTAGTCCACTCCAAATCTGGGGGTTGTTAAGGTGGCATAAATTCATCTTTCTACCCTCTGTTTTCCCTTGGCTGTACTTTCTGTGCTGCATCTCTAGGACAACACAGCTTGGGATTTGTCCCTTTCTATTCTTAGACAAGCCTGATGATTTATTTCTTTTTCTTTTAAAGTTTTTTTGCTTTTTAAATCTGAAAAATGAACTGAAACTTGATGTGCTTAACAGTTTTTTCTTGTTTCAAGATAAGTTGCATTACTTTAAGTTTAGTATGTACTAAGAGCTCAGTTTAGACTGGGAATAAACCACTTTGGTGCAATAGCTTCTACAATTCTGTGTAGGACTGCAAGCATGCTTTGGCCATGACTTGAAACATTCCTGATTTTTCAGGCCCAGCATTGGGTTGAATGTATTAGAACCACAATAAATTCATAAGGGAAACCACTAAGAGGGATTAGATAAATAGCCAGATTTATATTTTTTCTCTCTATTTTTTTTTTAATTTGGAGTTCTTGCAAACTCTGAAATTGTGTAGGATGGCAGGATTTTGTGATGAAGAGTAAGTCTGTGTCCCTTTTTTTAGTTACCTTGTTTCCATCTCAGTTTCATGTGTTGCTAATAGTTGGTGACTGGATTTGATCCAAAAAAACTTAGTTGTTGAAACATACAGCGGTGATTGTATCTGTCTAATCTGTGGATTTATTAAAATATGCAGAATCATAATTAGGTCTTTTCCATCTTATTAGGGACTTTAATTGTTTTGCCTTAATAGCCATTTTTAAAGATTTTATTCATAGCAAGTTTTCTCTACTCTTGTTTGAAGTCAGAGGTGGGTAAAATCATGATACAAACATGAACTACCACTTTTGTAGAGTTAGAAAATCACCTGTAACAGGTGCATGTCTAGAAAAGCTTGAAACATGCTGTCCCGACAGCATGCACTGCTCTGAAAAATCTTTATGCCCACTGTTCAAAAAGAGTCAGAGAGTCTGTATCTTGGTCTTCATAATGATGTCACATGTGCTGCATCTTTTTCAGAGCTGTTATTGAGGAACTGCAATGATATAATTACTTTTTCTTGAACACACCAATACTTGTGTAGGATCATTTTTACAATCTATTCATTCTGCATTATCCTGTGAGATGGCCTTGTATTCCTCTTCTAGTGAAAGAGAAAATTAGGTTTCCAACATAATGTGAAATGAACATAATAAAAGCATGGGTCTTAGCTGCTTCTGTAGTCCAAAGTTTTCACACATTCTGTAGGTTTTACAACACAGATTTTCTTCTGTGAGAGCTGAGGTGAGGCACTTGTCACTACTGAGACTGCTTCAGTGTTTCTTGTGAATGGTTTTGCCTCTTTTTGCTTTAATTTTAAAGCAACAGATGTATTTTGACAAATGAAATTGGCAACCTCAATAAACCAGCATGTTCCTGAATACATTTCTTTGCCCACCCCTGAAATGGAAAGGGAAACTGTAGCAGGTTCATTCCCAATGCAGTAGGCAGCGGTTCCTGGTGGAGACGGAGTGTGGGCACCAGGTGGCCTCAGCTGTGTGTGTGTGTCCTGCAGGCACCGCCGGGGAGTGCAGTGATGCATTCATGAGGACACTGCTGAGGACAGCTCCCTGACTCCTGGGCAGGTGTCACAGTAAGTATTGCAACCCATCCACTGCCAATCCAAGGACTGATTTGTGCTTTGCACTGCTGATCCTCAGACTGTGGTACAGGCTTTCATGCTGATGTTACCCTTGTGAATGCATTGCCTCCCCTTGATACTAATAATGAGAATTTTCTCACCTAATAGGCAGTGATTTTTTTCCTTCTTTGGGCATTTCTGCTGTTTTGCTTTGGAAGTGTCTTGCACCTTGTTGTCTTGTGCAGAGGTACACCAAGTCTTTTCACAATTCACCTTGCTCAAAGGAGAAGTGCCACCCTCTAGGGTTCCAGTTTTGATCCTCTGAGATCAGAGATCATGCTCTGTAGCACTAAGGCTATTAGTTACTAAAGGCATATTATGGAAGAGATGACTGAGAGGGGACCCTAGCAGTGTCTGTCAGCATCTGGATGGAAGTGTCAGAGGATGGATCCAGACTCTGCTTGGTGGTGCTGAGCAATAGGAGAAGTGCCAGGGGCAGAAATTGATGCACAGAAAGTTCCACATGAACAAGAGGAAAAACTTCTGAGCAGATTGCACTGGAACAGATTGTCCGAAGAGGCTGTGGAGTCTCCCTCACTGGGGATATTCAGGAACTTTCGGGATGCAATTCTGTTCCATGAGCTCTGGGATGACCCAGCTTGAGTAGGGAGGTTGGACCAGATGACCCTGTGGTCCCTTCCAACCTGAACCATTCTGATGTTCTGTGATATCCAGGATATGGTAACAGGATGCTGTTTACTTCTTAGAGGATATTTAGAGAAGGCAGTTTGGTCACATCATAATGACAAAATGAAAATGGTAAGATTTAGGAAAGAGATGGAAATAGCAACGAGAACAGAAGGTTGTCTGTTTTGAATGCATTTGCTAAGTTATACTTGACCTTGAAAGCTTTAGTTACTAAGACACAAGATAGCATTTTTAATTTAAACCTTAATACTGTTTGTTATTGTAACGTGATCTCAGTTTTGGAGCATAGAGTTTTAAATGGATTTGATTTGTATTTTTGGCATCTAACCCAGCCTGCAGATCACGAGGCCTCGCAGAGCTTATGCCTTCAGGCTAACTTGAAACAGATACTGCCAGCAGTGCATGGTCCTCTTAGTCAACCTTGCAGCTCCACGTGCTTCATGCTGCCCACCATGCCAACCTTACCTGAAGACAAGGGACAAGCAAAAGAGGCCCAGCACAACAGCTCTCCTCCAGCCAAAGTAAGCTCTCTTACTTGCAAAGGTGTTTTCTGACACTTGCTGGAAACCTGAGGCTGAAACATGTCTGTGTATATTTAGGGGTTTATGAAATCAAATCTATTTGTTGCTCTGTATTAGGGTGTTTTGCTTAATTGATGAAGCTATGAATGATCCTTCAGCTGAAATCCTTTGAGTTCCTCAAATATTTTATAGCCTAAGGGATGAGAACTTAAATTGCTCAAGCAGTTGTTTATCATTTTGAACTGGAGGCTTATAAATGGTTCCGAACAGACAGACATATATCAAAGCTGTCCAAAAATGACCTTTGTGATGTTATTAAAGCAAACTTTAAACTTTGAGAACAGAACTTAGGCTTGCACTTCAACAACTAGTGTTGCTTTTACAGATATAGAAGATGTTATGCAACTCATGTGTGTGTGAAAGATGGAGATGGGCTTTTTTTGGTTTGCAGTCTTTCTCAGTGCTTTATTTGCCACAGCAGTAGATGGTCATACACTGGAACTAGTGAGAGGCAGGTGGGTGTTCCACAGGCATTTCATCAGTTTGCTTCAAATTTGTGTGGCATCTACATGTCTTGATGTGTTTTCATTCCAGATAAATATGAAAAATCAGTAACAGATGGGTCTTCCCTATTTGCAGTAATCTATACCACAGATAAAAAGTAGCTTCATGCTTTAATAAACTGGGGTTGGATTTTTTTGTCTGTTGTTAGCTGAAGTAAAGAACCTTACTGTGATTAGGAAATCACAGGCTAATCAAATAATTAGTTTTTATGCAAACTGGTGTAAAGAAAGAGAGGATTTATTGTCTGGCACATCCTCAGTTAAAGATGAGACACTGCCATTAGCTTTGGGGACACTACACTCCAGACTTTAGGTGAAAACATCCTCTACTTTAACATGGTTGGAAAATACTGGCAGCAGTGAGCTCTGCAGTGATTTGTCCTGCCTTCCATCAAAGCTGCACATGGTGCTGAGTGTTAATTTCCTGCCTTAAGATAAACACCTCAGCTGGATACAAATTCATCAAGACTACCATCTGATAACATCTATTAGCTGAAGAAGATTTTATTGGGGCTTTTTAAACTCACCTATGTGAAATGTATTTTAGTACAAAAGACTTGCTGTATAAAACCTATTTAGAGATGAAAAATATGAAAATCTAGCAAACATCAGTGATTCTAATCCTGAATGTGCTTGTCAAGTGGGACAAATGAAAATTTCCAACCTCCTGATATAAAAGCACTAATTTTTTAATACATTTTCCAGGCCTTTTAGATGTAGGTCTTAAAAGGACTGTGGTAATGTGATAGTTCCTGAATCAGGTCACTGTGCAAAATGCTTCATTTTAGATAAGTGATTATTTTTATGCACAAAATTGTGGTGGAGTGATTTTAACCAAAACACTGCTCATAAGCCTCCTTAAGGTTTGCTACTAGCCAATGCTGTGAAAATTTGGTCTTGTTCATAGCTGTTGTCACTCTTGGCCCTTGCTGCAGGTCAAGTTCTACAGCCTGACTGTAAGTCACTCTAAGTAAAACAGCTTATTGTGAGATAAGGACTTGCAAGCAAGGAGAGGGCATCAGAAGGAGCTAAAAGCTGGTGAATTTGTTTTCTGCCATTCAAAACTGTTTCCAAAAAAAAGCTTTAAATTTCTTCTCATCTAGAGTGCTGTCTGGTGTCTGTCACCTTCCTCATTCTCTTTCAGGAGAATCTTCCCCACCTTTTCTCTGCATGCCCAAATGCACAGATTGCAAAACAGTTCTGGCAAAAAGAAAATGAACATCACGTGTTCATTTTAATGTTTAATGTCAAATGTTACATCACATGTAGCTTTCTGCATGCTTCAAGTATGATCATGCTTTTGCATGATGGGAAGATCTGGGTTCTATGTCTCAAATTCATTTTGAGAAAACAAATGTGGGTTTTCACTTCAGTATTTCTTACAGCAGCTTGTGTTTTTCTGAAGTTCAGTCTAGACTTTTAATTAATATTTAAGAATATGGCCAGGTTGCAGAGGATTTTCTGTTTCCTAGTTTTCTGTTGTTTTGGGATTTTTCCACAGTGCTTTAAAGAATTCAGGTGTTATACAGTAAAGCTCTGTCACCTGGCATGGTAGGTCTTTCAGCAGAGTATCTTTGTATTCCTTCTCCCCTCACCATCCCATTCATGTAAAAATCACCTGAATTTGTCCGGATTATAAACATTTCAAAAGCACATTCTCTGTATGTTTAGTGAGGGCCTGGTAGAACTTAACAGCCAGAATGTCTGGAGGTTCTACTTCCATCCCTGATCCTTGTGACTGTTCTGTTATGGACCAAATTGCCTGTGCCACCCTCTCAGCCTTCCACATGTCTCCCTGCAAGTCTGGATGGCTCCTGGTCACCCATGTGGAGCAGTTCCCTCCTGAGCCACAGAGGTGGAGTCAGTTTTACCCTAATTTTTTTTTTTTTTTTTTTGGCAGGGGAGGGCTTTGGACAAAAAGGAAGTAAAGAGTTGGGTAGCAGGGAACCACTGGTAGTAGGAGATGAGGCAACTGTTGGGAATAGTTGAGGAGCAGATGGGTCTGGAAGCTCCCAAGGGAGCAGAGTTAAAGGCACACAAATAAGAAAGTGATGGAAATCTTCTCTGACATCTCTGTAGAGAGTTGTACAACACTGCACTGTTGTGAGGCAGCTTAAGCTTCCTGTTAAAGCTTCTCTTCCAAGGCCGTGTAGGGCAGCCTGAGCACTGAGAATCTGTAACAATTCCTTTTGAGTGGAGCCAGCTGGCCCTGCAAAGAGCTTCCTGCTCTGGCTGTTCCTGCCCCTCTCCTGGACAAGGCAGGTTTGAACAACGGGGCCATGAGGTTTCACTTGTGTGGATCCTGAACTCTTATGGCTGCTGACCAGGATTAATGTTTTCTACCTGACCTGAACTAGCCTTGACTGCAAACTCTTTTTTTTTTTTTTTTTTTTTTTTTTAATGAGCCGTTTTTAAAGTCCTAAAATGGGCTTGAGTGACTTGAAGGCTGTTGTTACATCATTCAGAAGTTTTTGCTTTCTGGCAGTCACAAGATTAGTAAAAACACTGTGCATGTGTATTAAGCTGCTTTGCCCTACAAGCAGGGGAGTCACCTGAGTTTTGTGACTGACAAAATATATTGTCACTTTTTAACATTTTCAAGGATATTACTAAAATTGCCTTCAAGCTATTGTCATAAAATGTCACTTGTGCATTTGAATCACATAGGCTCTGGGATTTTAACATTTTCAGAATTGCAATGATATTTTTCCTAAATTTAAATCTTCACAGTGTTTTCTTGGCATGTTCCCCATCCTGCTCTCCTGTGACTGACAAAGTGAACTTGCCAAGGCAGTTCATATGAGAATTATGAGTATGGAAGTGTGAAGCTGCTTGAAAAAAATTTTAGTAAAAAATTTTGCTATTTACAGTAGAATCAAGAATCCTAACTCAGGTGTCCAAATCAAGGCCTATTTTGTTGCCTTTGAGAGGTAAAAGGGTTATGCTGTATATTTTAATGTTATACCATTTCCCATGTATTCTAGAGTCCTTTTACTTGATCAGAAAATGTTATTTTAACAAGAATAAAATGCATCACTGGGAGAGCTGTTGCAAGGAGTTCTATGGTAAATGACAGAAATTAGCAGTCAAGTAAGAATCAGCTTTCTTATGGAATAGAATAGAATAGAATGGTTTAGGACAGAAGAGACCTTCAAGGTCATGCAGTTCCAACGGCTCCGTTATGGACAGGGACCTTCCACTAGAGCAGGTAGCTCAGAGCTCCCCCCAGCCTGGCCTGGAACACTTCCAGAGTCTAAAACTGACTTACTAAACTGTGACTTATTCATTCTGTTAATGCCTAAATTAGTGCTATTGCCACAGATTTTTCTTACCTGCCTTACAAATTTCTTGTGAAGCTTTGGGATGTAGTTTCAAGGAAATTGTAGACTCTAAATAACAAACTAACACAAAACTCTCATGTATATCAGTGCCTAGCAGAAGGAATTAGGATTTGAGAATTTACAAATTATTCTTTAAATTTTAGAAGTCACTTAACAGCAGTCCCCTGCCTCTGCTGGGAAGCTTTCCCTTCAGCTGTTTTCTGGTTTTAATCTGAACACAGCACTTGAGGTAGAAGTAATCATTTTCTTACCACATATGAGACATCCACATTGATTTATGCCAACTTGATGCATCTTCACTTGTGATATCTCACAGGAAATGGATTATTTTTCTTCAGCTGAATGGTATAATTATACAGAAGGTGTGACATTAAGTTCTTGAGGCAAGGTCTCACATTTAAGCAGGCAAGCACATACTAATATTCAGTACCAGCTTGCCAGTTTCTTTTAGCACTTAAAAATTATATTTTATTTCATTAAATTTTTAAATTATGTTTTTTAAAAATATGTTTCCAAGTAATCTGAGGGAAAACCATGTGGTGCTCTTAACAAGATAACTTTAAATTATTTTCTGGAGTTTTGAGTATCGTGTACACTTAATACTGTGTTTTTTTCAAGCTTTCATTATACATTACTATCATTTGGAGGGTTTGTGTGCTTAATTTAGCCCTGTTATACAGAGCTGCTTTTCACTCTTGCATTCAGCTCATAAATTCACCAAACTCTTGGACATGTACTTCACTTGAGAAATGGTTTGCTGTGTGCAAAACCAGTCTGTGACTGCATTTTTAAAGCTTTCTCATTAGCTCCATGCTTATTGAATTTGGCTTGCATGCACTAAAAGTTTTTAAAGAAAACAGATATTCCAGGTCTCCATCACGACTTTTGAGTAGTTTAAGTATAGGCCTCTAATTCAAGTTTGTTTTGTCAAATTACAGCTAATTATGTCTTATTTCAATTACTTTTTCTCTTTTAGGTAAATTGAGAAATACACATTGTTTTCCACACAGAGAGTCAATGTTCAGTGGTTTAAATTTCTGTTTAACTACATTTTTATATTTGTCATACACCATTCAGGACACAACTGTTGAAGGGACAACATGCAGCACACCTTCTATTGTTCTTCCAGAGAATGCTGTCACTCCAGATGTAGAAATTCATAAAAATCTGGTTAACAGGTACTGTATAATACATTAGCAATCCATCCATAAATTTCAGAGGCTGTGTTTCTAAAACATTGCTCTGAAATGTATGTTGGATGCTGCATCTCTGTGAGTTGGTCATATTGCCTTTGCATTTTGAGAATGGTGTTTGGGATGCAGGGTGGAGGAACAGGAATATAACTGAGACTAAAAGAGAAGAGTAACACAGAACACTGAGCCTGACAACCCCACTCACTGAGCTGGACAACTTAAATATCTAGTTTGAGCACTGTGATGCAACGGATTTAAAGCAGTTTTGGGCCTGTTCACATAGATGGGACAAGAATACCACCTTGAGGTTAAGCATATGTGAAAGTAAGTCTTTGAATAGAAATAATAATCCTGTTTGAAGCTGAAGGCTTCAATTCAGTTTTCAGTTATTATATTTACTCTGATAAAGCATACTTCCTGACCTGGGCTTTTTCATTTTATTGGCCTGACACTAAACTTAAAATATGGGGAAAAAACATATCAAAAATATATTTTGTAAATGTATAATTTGTTTGTATTTTAAAAAGTGTGCTTCTCCAAACTTCAAGATTAGTTTAGAGTCAGAATTTATCTGCAGCCCTTCAAAAGCAGAATTATTTGCAGGGTCAGTATTTACATTTCTGCAGTTGTTTGAGACTTTTACTTGGTTTGCAGTTTAGAAAGATCCTATGGGAGTGTCAATGTGGGAGCCTAAGGAATTATTTTAGCCATAAAATTTAGTTTAAGAAGCAGTAAAAATTCATAAAGAGTAAGTCTTTTGGGGGTTTTTGTTGGTGGTTAGTTTTTTGTGGGGCTTTTTGGGGTTTTTTTTGGTGGGGTTTTTTTGTTTGTTTTTTTTGGGGGGGTTTGTGGGGGTTTTTTGCTATATGCCATTCTTACATTATTTTTAAGTGATGGTAATAATCTACAGAAATGTGCAGGTTTTTTCCTAAGAAATCAGGTTCACAGTGAATGAGATTAATAGCAAATTTTAGAACTTCTTTGTTAGATCAATTTCTGCAATTTTCCTTCTTTCCACGATCTCCTCCATTTTCCAGTTGTTTGGAGGTGAGAGAAACTGCAATAAATGCTTTTTGTCTTCATTTTTAAATCAAAGGGCTTTCATTTTAATATTAATTTTTAATAGCTAATTAGGACCTCTTTTTGGTGCCATACTCCATAATTTTTTTGTTCACTTTTCTCTCTAGGCCTCGGAGTCCCCATAGGAGACATTCTAACCGTGCCACCAGGAATTCAACAAGTTCACTGACTTCTGTTGGTAAGAAGTGATTATTCATTTCAGCTAGGATGTACTCTCAGAAAATGTGGCATGCAGTGAAAACCTGTATAGAGAGTCTGACTGTATTGACCACAATTTTTTTCTCTGTGCACACTGTGTAATGTATGCACAGGGAACGCTGCTGGGATGTTGAATTGTGGTAATGAGTTTGTAAGTGGACTGCATGCAGACAAATTTAAGGAAATACACACATTGTTACTTTCAGAAAGTTGTTAATTGGTGCATTAGCTTAACATCTTTAGAAGGCTCAACATATACATGCTTTATTTCTTGTAGAATACAAAATACTGGTTTTGCTACACTTGAGCTTCTCTTTTGTTGGCACAGGGGAAGTGTCATGGGAGGTCTTGTCTCTCAAACTTCCAACACACAAATTTGAGTTTAAACCAAAACAGATATTTCACTGAAAATAGATTGCTTTAGAATATTCAATCTGTAAGTATGGTTTTTGACATCCTTGAAATTGAACTAAATTTAAGGAAATTAAAGCCAAAGGACTTCTCTCTCCCCCTCAAAAAATCAATCAAAAACCAATAGTGAAACAACAAAAAACTCTTGAGTTTTTGCTGCTTGCTTAAATCCTTAGCTTTTCTGAAAACTGATGGTTCTGTAATGGCTCTTGTCAAATTTTAAAATATTTTTCTCATATTACCTGATGACTTTCCTCCCCCTCACCCAAGCTGTTCTTTAGATGTTCATAAAAGCCATAAATACTGACTTACACAGAAAGAACCTTTCTGACAACTGCTTGCTTTCTTTGCTGCATCATAGGCTGGAGAAGTGTAAAAATTGGTGCTCAAACTTTAGTGTTTTCAACCAATTTAAATGCCACAGATTATTGAAGTGTTAAATTAATTGTTAAAACTATTGTGCTTAAATATTTTCTGGCTGAGTTTATGGGTTCTTAACCATGAAAAACTGAACATGAAAACTCCATGAAGAAGCTCAGTCTGCAACAGAAATGCCATTACTGTAAGTTGAGATGGATCTAATGGCACTTTTATTTAGAAATGAGAAAAACTGCATTGGAGACACAGCTGGAAAAGCCAGTTTCACATATGCAGAGAATTTTTGATCACAGTGAATTAATCTTAGTGGATTACCTGTGGTTTTGAGGACTTGCTCTAAACTTGGGATTGTAACAACATAAGAAATGAGCAGACATTAATTTTTTGTTCCATGCAAGCTCAAAGCTGAATTTATAGGTATAAATTTACAGGCTTGCTTTGAACTTGTTGCTCTTTGTTTGCCACAATATACCTGGAAATGGAAGGTCCAGCTCTAATTCTAACATTTTCTACACAGACAATAGTGGTCATGTGATTGATCTGGTGAATGATCCACTACCAGATGTCAAAATATCAGAGGAAGACAAAAAGAAGAACCTTGAATTGTTAGAAGAAGCAAAGAAAGTGAGTGAGAGGTTCCTAACACGCAGAGGCAGGAAGTCAAGAAGCAGCCTCTCAGAGTCACCCACAGGTAGGGGCAGATCCTGAAAACCAGATTTTATATTCTCCTTCAAACATCTGTAAAGGCAAACATCTCCTGTAATCTATACATTGCTGCTGTTGCCATACCCTTGGTTAATGTGAAGGTCAGAATCCCTCATGTCCTCCACAAGGTTGCACAAAAACAGAAATGCCCCATCCATGTACCCAGATGTGTCAGGGTAAAATGGTGTAAAGTTACACTGCAAACAGTGTAACAAGGCATGAAATATTTCTGTTGAAAAGTGAAAAATGCTCACAAATTGTTGTTTAAATGAAATTCTAGTGACTAGATTCATCCTGCTGAAAAAACATCCCCTCCAGACACAATTACACTGCCTCTTATTCTGAACATAGTCATACACTATGGTAAATGGACCAGATCCTCCTTTAAAAACAGCAGAATAAACTGTTTTGTTCTAGAATGTCAATTGAAATTACTTTTCCTTTTATTTGAAGTGTTTTAAAACTGGAACAAAATGCCATTTTACCATGAAATAGGACCTTCATTTTGCTTTGAAATGCCATTTCAAACTCTCTGGAGGAAAAAAAAAAACCACAGCTATATATCACCTCTTTTTTATCCTAAATTCCTCATGAATCTTGTCTTGTGCTGTCTCCCCTCAGTGCTTACAGAATCAGAAAACTGAGGAGAACAAGGATTCCCTGTATCAATAGAAATTTATCAGTTTTTGACAAGTATAAGACATGAAACATGCTTTAAACTCCTAATTGCCAAGTACAACCTGGCAATTAAAATGACTTATCAGGTTCTGGACAAACACATGACTATGATGTTGAAGCTTTTATCTTATCTGAATTCTAAAAATACAGAAGGTACAAGCCTAGAAAGTAAAATCACCTTTTCATTTTGTTTATGTCTTTGTTCTAATGAAGCAGTTTCCCCTACTCTTAGTCCTAAAGTTGCACCCATAGCATCTCAGAGCAGTTCTCTCTCTCCCACTTCCATCAGGTAAAATGATCATGAATCATTAAGGGAGAAAAAGACCTCTAAGATCATCAAATCCAATCATTTGCAGGCTCAAACTTTAACTTATGAAAGCTCACCAAAAAAGCATTTGTTTATTATTTCTTGAGAAGAGTAGATTTAAGCATCTGGTCCTGAATATGATAAAGCTCTGAATGCATACAAAATAGATTTTTAAATATACATATTTTTATTATATTTTTATTGCTGTGGTGTTGCAAGTTCACATGTTCTATTTTTAAAATTTTGTCAATACAGACTTCTGAGAAGCTTTAATGATGTTTCATTTGCTATGGGTTTGATTTTTTTTTTCCTGTTTTAATAGTATTTTTGACATTTGAATTTTTGTCCATGTCTTATTGGAAACTGTGCACATATGGATTTGGTAATGCTATATTAGTAAAAATTTTGAGCAGAATATCAGGATATGCCCTAATTATATGTATATCTTTCAGGGTCTGATGCATGCACAGCCACTAGTATTGAGTCAGTATCTCCAGGGCAGGTAAGAGCTGAATAGTCTGTGCAATAATCTGATTATTATCATAATATGCTGCCCTTTTAGTCCCTGATAAAAATTGTATGTTTGGAAAACCATTTTATATATCAAAATTGGATTGCTGGTACTTTCTCTGTACAGCAAGAGACAAATAAATATTTAGTCTGAAGACAGATATCTATGAAGTAACAAGACCTGAAAGATCATGAAGATTTGCTAACTGTAGAAAATAGAAAAAGATGCAATATAACCCTAATGTATGCAAAAGCTAATCCCTGAAGTTATTTCATAAATAAATATAATAAGCAATGTAAAAGTTATGAGATTCAAAGTTCAGCTGTTGGTATCTATATCTAATATTTGTAGCATAGGTGTGAAACAGAACCTTGTAAGCAGTTTTTTCAATTTTTTTTTTGCTAGAATAACAGAATTGTGAAAGAGGATGACAGGCAAACTGCAGAGGTAAGTGTTTCACATTGAGAGCTGAACAGAGTGTGCTGGTTTGTCTTAGCACACATATGATTTACTGATGGGACTGAAAATGCTGAAAGATTGTTCACTGGGTGAAAAGAAAATTACAATACTTCAAGAAATTATGAAACATCCGCAAAAGTAGTGTAGGACAGTGGTCTTAGCACTTGATCTTTCCATCCTATCATGCACCCTGCTCTAGCTCAATTAAAATCAATATGCTAAATAACTTTATAAGTAAAGTAAAAATATCTGCTATAGCCATTTTAGTGTATGTCAGGGGTTTAGACTTTCCATGACATTAGCATGCTGAGGTGCTTGGCTTTAGGAGGATTGATGTAATGGACTCTGGAATGGGAGAGGTTAACTCAAAAGTTCAGAGAAGTGATTCCAAAGTCAATATTCTTTAAGGGCCTTTTAAAAATTATTTCTTTTGTCAACAGCACATATTCAAAAGCAAATGTCACTGAAAAGGAAGTGGCTTTTTACAATGAAAATCTGTCCTTGGGCAGGGGAAAAGAGGAATCTGGACTTGATTCTCTGTTTTATGTGTGTCCCTGTACTTTCAGAATGCTGCAAAAGGATTAATTGATCGAAGGCAGAATGATCAAAGAAAGATTTCTCAGGGAAGGTTGGTTCCTCGTTCTGCTGGCTTTGAAAACTCCAAAGAGAAGCTCTCAGACCAAAAGGAAAACTTTGATCCACGTAAACATATGGATACTTTACCTAAATTCTCCCCTTCAGCTGGTGATGGTGGCAGAATGTCTCTTAATACTTGCGTGAATGTTTGTGAAAATGAACTTGGAAAATCGTTCCTCAAGAAAGGGAAGGAAAATGATGTTCCTTTAAGAACCCATCTACCAGGACCAGGAATAGGAAATATGGACTCAAAGCTAAAAATTCCTGTTCCAGAAATGAGGGACCATAAAGTTCCATTTAAACCAGAATTTAAACTGTGTGGACTGCGTCCTCCTCTATTACGGGCTGTGTCCTGGGATAGCTTGGAGCCTGGACAGAAAGAGAAAACCCCTTTAAAATTACCATCTGAGGAAGATAAAGGCTTTCTTGGTAATAAATCCAACAATCAGTTAAAAGCTTTCAAAGACCTTCAAATCCAAGTTCAGCCAGTTCGAATGCAGAAGCTGACAAAGCTCAGAGAGGTAAGTCCTGTCATCAGCTGTATCCTGTTATAAAAAGTCATTTTCATACCCTACTAAACTTTCAATATGTTTAGAATTATTTTTATCACTGCAAGAAACAGTGATAAAATGGGAAACAGTTTCAGCATAAACATTTCTATTTCTTAGTTCTATTCTATTCTTAGTTTCTATTTCTTAGTTCTCCTCAGGTATGCATCAAGTGCACTGTGGTACTTCTAGGTGTAAATATGCATGTGCTCTTTCATGTTTATATTTGAAGATCTCAAAGGACAGGAAATGGGTCTGTAATGATTAGCTGATTATTGAATTGTCTCAGAAAATGTCTCAAAGTGTTCAGAGATGTAGAACTGGGCATCTCTGACAGAAAGGGCAGGTAGAGCATGTCCAGATTTATAGTTCCTAATTATAACCTGCTGCAAATCTGTCAGCTTCTAAATGAGTAATCTGTTGTTAAATAAATTCCTAAATGGTAAGTAATTAAACCCTAGGGGAAAAAGCAGAAACTTCATGAAATGATAAATCACCAAAAGAAAGCAGAGAACATGTCTCTATTGCTAATAATGACTTTTGAAAGAAAAAAAAAAAAAAAAGAAGCAGCAGGTACTTTCCTGAACAGCCTAATAAGGAGATTTTCCTTAACCCCCAGTAGTTAATATTTTAAGATTAATCTAAGGCTGACAGGTGAGGACCTCAATTCTGAACTTTGGTTAATTCATTCCCATTGTATTGTTTGGGAATGGCAGCTTCATTATTCATCTTTTCCTGTTGATATAACACAGATTCTTAGTGTGTATGTACTGCAAGTTTTGATTCTAGGTACCCTTGGGCCATATAATTCCAGGAGCAATTCTTCCCTGTGAGGTTTGTGAGGCCCTGGCACAGGGTGCCCAGAGCAGCTGTGGCTGCCCCTGGATCCCTGGCAGTGTCCAAGGCCAGGCTGGATGGGGCTTGGAGCAGCCTGGGCTAGTGAAGCTGTCTCTGCCCATGGCAGGGGCTTTGTAACCAGATCATCTTTAAGTTCCCTTTCAACCCAAGTCATTCTATAATTCTTTAATTCTGTCATTTTGAATGACCTAGAAGCTGATAAGCACAAATAAGAGAATAAAAAAATTTTTGCAACATGATCTATAATTCCAGTTAGGCAAGATTTGAGCTCTGTCTCCAGTGGGAATTGTCTATTCATAAACAAAAACAGGTATTTGTGAATTTAAACATGTGAGAATATGAAAGAAATTGAGGAGATGATAAAAGGGAAAATAAGACAACAAGGTTTAATCCTTGAGAGTGCATTTTTCCCTATCTGTAAGGAATAGAGGTAGAACACAGTAACAATGAAGCATCCCAAGTTCTGGTCTTAATAAAGTCAAAGTCTCATATGTAGGATTTTCTGAATTTCTTCTGTTATCTGGGATACTTAGTTATTACTGTGGCTATATCAAAATTACTTTTTTATTGTCAGGTACTGAAGCTGTCACTTACCAAAACTCTACATATCTACTTGAATAAGGGGCACATTTCACAAATCTGTGTTTGCATGACCAGGAATTTTTCTAAATAATGCCTGTATGGAATTTGAAATATGTAATATTCTAGAGTGTGTGTGAATTTATGAGTATCCTGGTATGTAGCATCTGACTGTAATGTAATGCAAATATCTCTATTATGTTTATTAACTAAAGTAAGTGTTTTATTTACATGTGGCAGGGATATCTAAATTGAGATTTGTAGTTTAGTCACAAATATTATTGTTTCTCTTCACAGGAGCATATTTTGATGAGAAATCAAAATTTAGTTGGACTTAAACTTCCTGAACTTAGTGAAGCAGCGGAACAGGAAAAAGGTGCAGTATCATAAAAACTGGAAAGAATGTTTGTTATATACTGATTTTTATAACTCACTGTTATGTGGGGGTGAGGAGAAAAAGTCTTAAAATCTTCAATTGCTAGAATAGTTAAAGCAGTCATGGAGAACAGTAATAAATTATCAACAAGAGAGACCAATAGTGGAAAGTACCTCATTTTCTTGATGATTAGAACCAAGAAGATACTGTAGGTATTATTATAACCAAGGGAAAAGATGCACATGTGGAATGGAGTCTGGCTTGTACCTAATAGCTGTAGGACTGAAGTTTCAGTAACTTTCTGTAAAAACATTTCAGCAGTGATGGATTAAATGGATGTAAGTTCTGCAAGATATTATGGTCATAAGGGTGAATATGATCCCTGGGAGTATAAATAAGAGATGGGATGCTTTATTCTTTTTTTTTTTAATTATTATTTTAGTGTATGTGTGGCAAGTATTGAAATGGCATTTTCACTTCTGGTCTACATTTCCATGTCAATGTCAATGACAAAATGTAAGGCCAGAAAAGAGTCATAAAAGTATTTGAAGGATTGGAAAAATATGCCTTGCAATAAGTAGGATTTTTTTAACCTCAATTTCTGTGATTTTGAAGGAAAAATAAAAGAAAAGACTTTAAAACTCTACATAAATGAAGAAAAAGAAATCTGGCAGCAAATGTTTTCTCCAATCTAAAACAAGCAAAAAAGATTTGATGCCTGTAGCTGCATTTAAAAAGATTCAGAATAAAGAGTAAAGATATGAACCTGAAGATAATTCAACATGTGGAAGAGTTAATTAGCAGTACTGCTTAGCTAAAATATTTAAACCAAATATGTCAACCTAAAATATTTAAGCCAAAACTATATATTTGTTTGGAAGTAGTTTATTCAGAACTTGTTCAGTGTGACGTTAACTGAAATGAAGATGGTTACTATGAAAGGAGCTGAGACTGATTGTCCAAGATTTAATCCAATGACAATTTCAATTTCTTTTAATGCAGTAATACAATTTTGCTAATTCATACATTTGCACTGGGACTAGCTCATGAGCCTTAAAGTTCCTGTTATACTCAGAGATGGTTGAGATACAACATTTCATGTTATGTCTGGAAATGGACTCATTTTCAGTGTGAATGAATAAAGATGAAAAAGGCTTCCTGTCCTCTATATTTAGTGGTTATATCTTTGAATTATTAGATATGATGATATTATTCCTGTCACTCTGTTAATGAATAATTTCCCAAAAATTATTTAGCAGGCTCTGTTTGAAACTATAAAATAGTTGCCATTTTACCAGCCTATGTAATTTTGGCATGTTTGGAAATCTTGAGGAAAACATTGTGAATAAGATTAGATTATTTTATCCAGCTTCTCAACATGGATCTCATGAGTGTCAGAAGCTTTTTCTAGTGCAGTAAGTTTTCTAAATGGTAGCCAGAACTTTAAGGGTCAACTCCTTGTCCTCAGTGGGGAAAACAAGCAAGGGGTCAAATTCTTAGTTAATTTGTCAGGGAGACCTACTTCCTTACATTATCAGAGAAGCCACCTTTTCAACTGGAGTGGTAATTTTGCTTAAACAATAGGAAATAGTCAGATACTTCATTATTACTGTTATGAATCCAATGTACCGTCTCCATCATGGTTTTTATCAATGACAAGTTACTGTCGCCTTCTGAGTAAACACAAGTCTGCATCTACACAGCTAAGTGGAATGGATTAATTCTGGTGTCAGGCTGGATTTTATGGGGATACATGTGACTGTTTTTAAGTAAATACTGGAATTTTTTTAATATAAAGCAAATGCACAAAACTGAAATGTAGCTGGAAAGAATCTCTCCTTCCGTTCCATCTTTCATGTTAATGCTCTCCAGATTGACACACTAATTACATGGCAAGTCTAAGAATCCTTCTGTTAAACTTATGAACAGGAGAACTGTTCAAAGATTCCTTCCCAAGTCTGAGATTCAGGCTGGGGAATCTGCCTTTCCTACAGGAGATTCCTTAATGAAATTCTGGTAAGACAGTAGGAGATAAGGGAGCTAATACATGTGAAATTAAATAAAATTAAAATACAGAAGCTAAGTAACAAGAATTTTAAAGAAGTGTTAGCCATGTCTTGGTCCTTATGAAAGTGACAGAATCAGAGAATGTAAGTATAACCTTTATATCCTGTTTCAATTGACATACAGTGCAAACAGGTACCTGATGTAATTTATAACAATAAATGGTGTACAAAATCTGTAGTATGGTACATTACACTACACTTCATCCTGGCAGGTGGCATTTAAAGCCTTAGAAAATGACTTTACAAAATCTCAGCTAAAATATTCCAGAAAAGAATGTGTGACTTTTCAAGTAACATAATTTTTTTTGATCTGAAAATGTCTTTAGGCCCTTCACCTCTGCCTTCCCCCACTGAAGAGGAAGAGACAAAGAGCAGCTCTGATGTCATGCCCAGCATTCCTGATGTATTGCTGCGAAAACTGAGAGTGCACAAATCACTTCCAGGAAGGTAAAAGCTCATTAGAAGTGGAAACATCATCCAGGAGAAGGCACACTAATGGTCTCCAGCCAATTTCTCTCCATTCATTCATAGGGAGATAAATTATTGAATCTTAAAATGTGCAACACAGATTTACTGAAAAATTCTGGGGAATGCACCAGCTTCCAGTAACTGGCCAACTTTAAAAAATTACTTTGAGTTCTACATAAAAAGTCTTAAACCTTAATTGCATGCTACAGGTAGATTTTTATACAGATTTTTCCACTCCCGATTTCCAGGACTGCTGTTGCAGATATGTACTCATATTGAAAATATTATTTCTCACCCCCATGAAAATAATCAGGCCAGATGATGCTTTCCAATGGTAGAATTTGGGCATGTAAGAGTTCTGCAGTTTTTCTGCAGTTGACTATTTTTTAGGGAAACTGAGTGTATTTTGCAAATGTAGTTGAAGGACTCACTTGTGAATTCACTGATTTGGACTTTCTGAGACATTAAAACAATCCCAAACTTATTCAGCCAAAAATGATTCCTCCATTCAGCCACATGGTTATGTACCAAAACAGCCAGAGCCTTCAGTTTTCTGAGCTGTCAATAAGGATTCTCTGTGCAGGTGAAATAAATATTTAACATTTATGGTGAAGGAATTGTTAGGTACATTATTTTATATAAATGAAGTGAAGAACTTCTGAGAGATCATTGCTTGATTGTAATCAATACAGAAAAGTAGTGGAAAACTCTGCAAATTCAAACAATTTTGTTGTTCAATTAAGTATTAGAATAGCTTTGTTTTTAGAGGAAAAAACTCATTAAAATGTGTAATTTTTTACTTTTTTCTAGCTCCCCACCACTCACTGAAAAAGAAGTTGAGGTAAGCATGCTATTATTTCAGACGTGTTCCAATTTTGAGTGATTATTTTAAGTCAAAGTGTGGTTATTAGAATGAGGTAATGGGGTGATTTTTCCCCAAAGTATATTTCTTATTAAAAAAACACCAATAACAAAACACATTGAACTCCATCAAGATAACAATTTTGTGAAATGTGAGCAATAGAAATTGTAAAACAACAGAGTAGGAGTAAGAAAAACATTTGTTTGTGTTGTTCATAATAAAATATTAATTCACTTTGGAAATAGTTTTAATATTCTAAAGTAGTAAAAAAAAATTGAGATTAAATAAGACCAGAACTCAGCAGTTTAAATTGCATTTTTAATAGCTAATATGAACTTTGTGGCATTTTTTAATAATATCCTGCTGTTAGTTGACATAATTCTTGCTTTCTCAGTTCAAGACAATAATTTTGTTTGCAGGTCTCTCTTTAGCTTGTAGCATTTGTTTCTTGGATTTTTTAAATCACAAACCAGTCAAGAAAAAGATCTTTTTTTACAACACTGCAATCTACTGGAGCTGTTGGTGCCTTATGCTTTGCAAAGTATTAATCCTAAGAAACTAGTAAACTCTGGTAAAGAAGGAAATAATCTTTAAAAGCAGGATGCAAGAGAATAAAAATGTTAATGCTTCCAGGGTAGGTGTTTATCCCTTAGATAAAACAATGCTCATGGTGAGCTCATCCCTGGACTTCCTCTGCACAGACTATCTGTTTAAAAACCTTGGGGACCCTTGGAGGAAGTCCAGCTAGAAAACAGATCCTTTGTGATTCTGGTGCTTCTGGTAGGCTGCTTCCTTCATGTTGTCTCTGCCCTACAGAGCTCCCAGAAAAACATTCAGGAAAAGAGGCAGCAACACATTTATTCCTATTTCAGTGGAAATAAATAGAAGTGATTTTTCAAGGAAAACAAATTTTAAAATAATTTCAATTTTCTGAAGCAATACTTATTTAAGCAGCAAAGTGTGTTAAACATATACTTTATTCATAAGTTGTTATTGAAAATTATATTACTGTGAGACTTATTGGAAAATGTCTTTTTTTTTAATCCAAACAGAATGTATTTGTACAACTCTCCTTGGCCTTTAGAAATGATAGTTATACATTGGAATCTAGAATTCAGCAGGCAGAGAGAGAGAGAAATCTTACTGAAGAGAATGCCGAGAAGGAACTGGAAAACTTTAAAGCAGCCATTACGGTAAGGAAACTGTGGGAATTCTTTTCCTGAACTGTAGTGTACCTGAAAGTGCACAAACATCACAAATGTGTTTGACTTGTAAATTCAGCCCCAAAACTTCATTTTCTGCTGCTCAGACGTCTTGCGATGAGCTGCCTACTACTCTGAGTGAGGGCATATTCTGCCAGAGTGGGCCAGCATTGCTGGAAATGCCTAGGGCATGTTTCCCTGGTCTAGCAGATTTCAGGAATAAATACTAGGAATTTGCTGTTCAGTTCTTGAAATAAGCCTGTGACATAGCTAAGAGCATCCAGAACTGCAGTTGGAGCACTGATCCATGCTCTCCTGAGCAAGACATTCTTTACCAGTAAATTTGAAGTGTCCAGATATGAAAGATACCAAAATTATTTGAAACTTGAATCCTGAGATCTGTAACTTGAAAGGCCTCTTAACTGCAGATACTAGAAGGCAGGCTGTGTGAAAGGAAACAGCAAGGAATACTTAGGGAATAGGTACAATCTCAGGCTCAGGTTCTAGGCCTGAGTACACTTTGATTCCAGCTGTTCCTGGTGTCCCTTTACAGCAGTAGTTTCAGTCCTTCTTGCCAGCTTTCTCTAGGTTTTCTAACTGGAATAACAAAAAATTTGCTTCAATGTGTCAACTGAAGTGCTGTGCGTGTCTTTGTGTGCAAAGGGAGGGATGGTTACACACCAGGCTGATAAATGAAATAGCCTTAGGCCCAGCCTGCATTATTGCAGGGAGGTGCTGCCGTTCTTATGAGAATAGTGAGGAGAACATGTGATTCTCCTATATACTTATCAAGAATATCATCAGGTAAGACAATATACAGTTAAAGAAAGCTTGTGGTCACATCTTTTCATCTGGAATTCCAAATCTCCATTTTCAAATTATTGTTTCTGTAAAAAAAATATGCTGAGAATATTTTGCTGCTCTTCCCTCTGTTCCCTGTGTAAAGAGCAAGCAGAAACAGCCTATTAAATCTCAGGGTTTTCAGACTGAAACAAGGCTGTTAGATTTGCCATGGATTTCTGTCAAGAATCTCTAATTAGGCACCAAGGTTCATGTTGCCAGCATGGGACAAATGTGATTAGAATTTTCTTCCTTTGAGCAGTTCACACGCTACAGTCTGGCTTTTACAAGGTTTTTTACATAATTTATAACAAAGTGGAAACTGCCTTCCCTATAAAAGCTTTTGTTCTGGACAATGGAATAAACTAAGAAGCAATTAAAAGCAGTGATGGCTTCTGTAAAATCTCTATCATGCTAGACCTAGAGTTGTTCCAATCTCATTGAGAGGTTATCTTCATTTCTGTAGGACTGGCACATATTTTATGGCTCAGTGACAGTTTTACCAGTCTTTCTGATTTTTTTAATCAGTCTTGTGATAATTGATGTGTTATTCAGAAACCTAATTTCAAGAAAAAGCTGATCTACATGAATTTCCAATGTTTTGGAGAAAATAAGGAGGTTACAGTTGTCAAGAAAGAAAAGGAAACTCTGAAATTCTGTGCATGATTTTTCCTAAACATATTCCCTTATTTCTTTTTTGTTCTTGCAGTCAAATTTTGGTTGCAATTTATTATCAAGGTAGCATTGCAATTCTTGAAACTGTCTTATTTTCCAAATAAGTGAAGTATCATGGAAGTGAAATGTGGCCTTCTTAATACTTGTGCCCAGAAAATTAAAATGTCCTTTGTCCCTCAGCAATCATTTTTAAGTGCTAGTTGAAATGAACTTAGCATTTGTAGAGTTTGCAGGTGGCAGAGCATGTTTCACTATAGATTTCAGAAGGGAAGTATCAGAAATGTGCTGAGCCCTCTCTAACTGCTCAAACTGTGCTCCTGCAGCTTGCAGTGAAGCACCAGGGCAGCAGCAGCACTGTGAGCTGGGTGTGGTGGCAGTGCTGGCACCCATCTGGGGCTAATCTCTCCATGAGGAGTTCTCCCTGGACATTTCTACCCCATTTTGAGGCTCTGGCCATTCCATTCGAACTAAAACCATGCTGATAGAGCTGCTGTATTTTTGCTTCAGTCTTCAGCTCACCTGTGGCACCACTATGAGCACAGGGAAGCGTACCAGAGGCTCCTGGAGGACATCGCAGTGCTGCGGCGTTTGGCTGCCCGGCTCTCCAGCCGCGCCGAGATGGTCGGAGCCGTTCGCCAGGTGAGGGCATCCTGGTGTTTTACTCTATCCTGGATCCACAGGTGCTCTCTTTGCCAGCCTGGGCTAGAGGTTATATTTTATTTGCCATTTTGACAGATTAAAGACATCTGTTGTATGTTGTATTGAATGAGCTAGCCGAATTGGACCTCTACAGCCTGTCCAGACATGGATTCTTACAGTTGTAGTGTCAGGTAACACACCCCTACAGCCTGGAAATAGAATTCCAACAGAAGATTGTCCATTAAGCTATTTATTGTCTGTGCAACAGAAACATACATGTTGTTATCTTGTTGTTATTTCACATTTCTCAAGTCCCATGCTGTTGTTTTGCTGGTTTTCTACCAAGCTGTTCTTCGTGTCTTCTCAGGGGTTCCTCCTGGGCTCTTGACCCACCCCTTTTTAGTCCAGTTACCTTCACAAGCTACAGCTGCTGCCCAACTAAGGACTTTGCAGCTGTAGCTCGTTTGGAGTAACTAGGACCCACTTATCTAATACATAGATCTTACAGGGACTCTCTCCATATTTCCCCCTTTTTCTTTTAACAATTATACAATTACAATACACGTATAGTCCCAGCTCTCAGGCTGTCACAGCTCTCGGCTGTCTTTATCTAATACATAGATCTTACAGGGACTCTCTCCATACATATATTTTATTCAGAATGACAGATGCATCACAAGAAACTAATTTCAAATCAGTGCAGCACATAATAAAAATATTAAGGGGAAAAAAAAAGAAAACTTATCTGGGTCAAAAAACTCATCTAATTCAGTCACTTGTCTTTGGCAATAGCTTAGTCAATTACAAAGAGAACAGAATGAGTATAAATAACAACACATCAATACCCACCCAGATTTAAGAATGTTCCCTCTGCCCTCTAAAGTAACCAGATTGATGCCAGTGACGAAGACTTTTGAGGGTTTGAAAACAAATGTGTTATAACACATAAGTAATCAGATATACCCTGCCTCTGTGCCTATGAATATATGACAACATCAGCTATTATATTCTGTGAAATGCATGTGAATTGGCATTTTCTTCTATCTTAGGAATTTTCAGTCACGGAGGCACCAATATTTTCTTAAGAACAACAGCTCCAGATTTAGCCCTGACATGGAGCATACATATGGAGGCAAATGATTTGTTGGAGATGTGTAGAGGTTACCTGGATATTTCCCTCTTTTCTTCCTTAGGAGAAGCGTATGTCAAAGGCAACAGAAGTAATGATGCAGTATGTGGAAAATCTGAAAAGGACATATGAAAAGGATCATGCTGAACTGATGGAGTTCAAGAAACTTGCCAATCAGAATTCTAGCAGAACCTATGGTGCATCTGGTAAAGAAAAATAAAAATTTAGGGATTTGTCTTGCTTCCAATTCAGAGAGATATTGGTGCTATTAATGATTTAAAGTATTGTGAAGCCTGTTCATGAAGTTCTGATCTACAGGAGTAGATTTTCAAAAGTTAAAGAAATAAGATGTTTCATATGAGCCATACTTACTGCTATAGTTTAGTAATTTGAATTCACTATCACTTAACAAATTCTGATGAGATCCAATCATATTTTCTCATGGCCTCTTGCAAATCCATCTACTCTGCACAATTTTAATGCAACTACCTTTTAGGTCCAGATGAGGGCAAAATTTCATTATTAAAAACACTTTTCTTTTTACAACCTCTTCTTTCCTTTGCTGGAAACTGAAATATGAGGATTTTCCTTTGCAATAACTTGTATATGGAGGCCAATACATATACATACAGTGGGATTTTTGCCTGATTCAGTGAAAGTAGTACTGATTTGGTTATTTGCAATTATTTCAAATTTCTTGTGCAGGTGTAATTGAGAAGACAAGACAATTGAGAAGCTGTATGACAATACTGTATGACAATAAATACATGGTCACTTACAGACTCTGTGTAAATATACTGTATCTGAGTTTGAAATATAAGCAAGGGCTCTATTAATATTGTTTAGAGATACTCACATAGTCTGAGACTGTTCTTTATCTTTGTTTCTGCGCAGAAGATGGAGTTCCTCGTTCATCTAGATCCATGTCTCTCACTGTTGGAAAGGTATTTCTGCAATATAAAGAAAACTAACATTTGATGTAGTGAAATTTCTTTGTCTGTGTACTCAGTTCTTTGTCTATTCTCAGTTCTTTAGGCTGTGGTCAAACAGTGCTGGTAAATTCTCAATAATGTTTATGCAATTTATTGCATGTGCTTTGCAATTTTGGATACATGACTTAGTATGGCTTTGTGCAATAATGGTAGTGCCTGATGTGAAACTCTAGTGTTTTATTTCTGCAAAACTTCCAAGTGTTGGAGATCAACTCTATCACAAAGCTTGCTAAAACAACCAGTGATTTGGGAGGCATGAGTCCCAGTATGACCATTATGAAATTTGGTGACCAGGTGCATTATACTCACTCCACTGTTTATTTTAATTTTAATATTTTTATTTGATTGGATTGTAGTTCTTTAGGTTAAATTTATTCCTGCCACCTCTGAGTGTTGTGTATAAAAAATTAGAGCACAGAGCATGCAGAGGGCAAAATGGGATTTCAGAATGAAAACCCCATAGGTTGAACCAGCAGTCTCAAAAAAAGACTAAATTTAACAGGGATGAGTCCAAATAATAAAGAGGAGACAAAAAAGAAGCCAAACACTAGAATGGACTTCCTACCATGGCTGCAGACTTCCCAAAGTATTTTTTCAGGAGTAAATTAAATGAAACTGTAATTAATTAATAGGTACGGTTGGTTTTGTCTAGAACCAGAATCATGGAGTGACTCCTTAATATTCACTAAAGCTGTGTTCACTCCTTTGCTGTAAAGTTGTCTAAAGAACAGAATCTTAGAAGTGTTTGGATATGCACTAAAACAAACCTGTTAGATGCTATAAGTGTTTTGATGTTTTTACTTAGCTGGAAGCATAGATTTTACATAGATTTTATAGGATTAATCATTTGGCTACTTACCAAATGACAGCAAAATGTTACATAATCTGTACTTGAGCTAGAATATATTGTTGCAATTAGCAGGTGTTTGGCATAAGAGAATTTTTATGGTCTTTGGGAAATATAAGCAGTGTTGCATGATGCTATCTAACAATTCAGGGGTGGGGAGAAGGGGCTGATCTTCTGTGGAAGGAATGAATGTTTTTGTTTCAGCAAATTATAATTAATATGTTTACATGTAAATAATATATCATACTGGGTACAGTATATCATAATAGGTACATAGCAAGATAAGAGTTTCATGTGTGACTTCAGCATTTCCAGTCATTGTGACACTGGCACTTTCCCCAGTATCATTATGCATCTGCTTATCAAAGATAAAGGCCTATGATAAGAGCTGACAATATAAACTCAGAACATTTCTGTTGTGTGATTTAAACTGGGCTTTCAGTATGGAGGGAAAAGAGCAGCATCTCTGTGTCACATCTCATTTCACATTAAGCACTTGCCATACCAGGCAGTACAAGATGAATTTCTGGGAAAAACCATGACCTTTTATTTTACTTTTCCTCCCAACTCTCCTTTTCCCAAAGGAGACACTGACCTACATCTTTGCCCCACTAATTAACCCACAGAATTTTTCTTCATTCTGTCTTGTTGTATGGTAGAAAAAATAATTGTTGTTTCTCCCAGAATATGCCTCGAAGGAGAGTCAGTGTTGCTGTTGTTCCTAAATTTAACTCCTTGAACATTCCTGGTCAGTCACCAACAGCTTCACCTATACCTACTATGCCATCCCTGGTAAGTAAAACCCACATTTTAAAGTTACCAGTTTTTGTCTAAACTATTTTTGCATAGGGGCAAGCCATAGTTACTGTAGAATGAAAGCTTTTTCATTGATTTAACTTGTTTTGACTCCATCTTGAAGGGGATGGACAGAGGTAATTCCTATTGTGTAAGGGGATATTGCAATCTACCTCCATGAATTATTCCCTTTGGGAAGAGCTGAATAGGGCAGACTGCTGATCCACAGGCACTGGGCATTGGTGAGGCAATTTGCCTTTTAATCTGAAGTAACACACAGGAAAGAAATAATGAAAATAGCTGTACACTGTAGAAGAGAAATTTCAACCAGAAGCCACAGATCACAGCTGGACTGCTGCTCTTCATTGCCAAAAATCCACTGAACAGCAATAAATGTAATTAATGTACAGAAATGTATGTGGTAGCAATTTAGAGGTTCTGTGATGATCTGGGATCACTGGAGCCATCAGCCTCTATATTGAATTTTTTTTTGTTAAACTTTAATAAATTAAATGAAACTCTAATCTGAACGTAATAAATCCATACAAATGCTTTGGAGAAAACCTGCAAGACATACTCACTGTTCAGAGATGAGCTAAGATGAGGCAATTAAAGTTATGGAGTTTTCTGTTAAAATATAGGGTTATTTAAATGAGGGTTTTGCTGAGAAGCTAAATCTATTTATCTATTTTACTTGTAAGAAAAGCATCTGTTTCTGCAATTTATTTATTATGTACTCCGAGTCAATTGCTTCAGGTACCCAGTCTGTTTGTTTGCCATGATTTATTATGAATTATTTTTGTTTAAAATTTCCCATTAAAAACTCAGCTAATAAATGCATCTTCTTAGGATAATAGGAGAGGAGCAAGAGAATAATTTTACTGTTCAGTGATCAATATATGAAGGAGAACATTTTCTGGGGAAAAATAAACAGGGTAGAAGGAAATGTCAGAAAATTCTTAGTGTTCAAGTCCTTTGTTTGCTCTGGTTAATTGGAGCAATGTGGAAGCACCACATTAAAGATACTGTGCTTATGAATATGGGAAGGAAACCTAAGCAGCACACTGCCTTTGTTATTTTATTGAACACTCATTTGAAATTAATTAATAAATTTTAATTGGTATTAAATTATTTAGTCATGAATGTTAACTAATTGATGAATGTAACATTTATTGCTATGCTTTACTTACAGTCTGAATCACCCAGTAATGGAAGGAGCAGCCTAACATCTACTCCTGCTCTGCCAGCACTTCTAGAAAAGTGAGTTTTGTCTAGGGCATCTCAGTAACTATTAAATGATAATACTAAATGATAATTTAAAGAATCATATTTTGAAATACTGTGATATTCCTACTACTCGTCAGAATGCTTTAAACATGCAAATTAAAAGCTTTCAACGTGTACATGACTACAAAATATTGAATTTCATGTATTTTAGATTAGTGCTGAGGCAGGACAAAATTGATCTTATGTCCTTGTTTTACCTTGTGCTTCACTAAGAATGTAAGTATGCAACAACTGAGAAAACAAAAATGGGAAACTACAGCACTGGCTGCTACTATTCAAAAGAACTCTGCAAGATGTAGACTACTTTTGAAACTGCACAGAATTTCTGTGAGAAAATACAGCAACCAAAAAAACCTTATCAATATTTCACACCTAGGAAAACAAATCATGTTACCAAGTAACAGAGGCAGAACTTGAAATTCAAGTTTGAGCCTAAGTGTGTGGGCATGGGCCAGCTGGTCTGGTAGTGTAGAATTACCCAGACCAGCACAGTTTTGTGTGTTTAAGCACTTCCAGCTTATACTCATGGTTTGTTTAAAGTCCAAGTGAAAATAATGTTTATTGTTAATATGACTTGAGAGAAAATCCATTGCCCACAGATTGTGTCTATCAGATTGAACTATTTTAGTGCCAGGAAAACAAGGCCTGTGAAAAGGGTGAGATTCCAGAAGTTGGAATGGGATCCATTGTTGAGCTCATTAAACCTTGACTTTGATAGATCTGCCATGTCTCAATCACTTAAACTTTCTGTCCCAGATAAAATAAATGACAGGAGATCACTGCAGGAAGACAGCAATATAAACCAACTTATCTTCAGGCTAAATGCTCCAAAATTTACTTGAGGAAAGTTCTGGAAAGTCAGCACAGGAGAATACATTAAAGGCAAACAAAAACAATGTTTTGTTGAATTGGTATTTGACATTACTTCTGTTATGTTCCTCTTATGTGGCAGGTTACAATTTCTAAGATGAGTTTTAGAAAGTTGAGGGAAATGTTTTCATGAATAGCAAGTAAATGTCATGGATGAGCCAGGTAAGAAAGGTTCTTTTCTTTTTTAAAGAAGAATAAAAATGATAGTTTTCTTACCTTAGAAACATAATAATTACTGTTCTTAAATCACAACATCCTGAAACAAATATTTTTCTTGTGTTCCATTTTTTTCTTTTGAGAGACATTTCATTTCTCCGATGTACATTAAAAAAGACAAATCATGACTCACAAAATTGCAGCATACTCCAAATACAACACATTTCCCTGATGTTATTTTCTATCTGTCTGCTTCTTTTGTCTTGGCAGTGGGAAGTCAAATGGAGAACCTGACTGTGAAACCTCAACTCCTGTGCTGACACAGAGTGGGTTGGAAGAGATCAGTCCTGAAACTAAAGCCAAGATAGAAGAGGAAGCATATAACAAGGGGTGGGAATACCTGTTGTGAACTAAACCTGTAAATATGTGCTACCACATGAGGACATAGGTTTTAAAAATTTAATTTTAAATACAGTCGTTATGTTGTTGATCTCACAAAATACTTCACAGAGCATGTTTTGGGGCAATTAAAAACTTTGGGATCTGTTTCTGAATGTCGAGCAAAGAATTTTGCATTATGTGAAGAGTGAGACAAATTTTGATCCTCTCCTGCAGAATCCAGCATGCCATCTGACTTTAGCACTGAATTGCATTTATTCTCCAGGAAAAAAGAAGTATCTAGAGGGTATTCAAAGTGATGAAGAGCTATAGAGAAATGTTTACTGGCTCCTTTACAATAGACAGAAATTGTTCTCTGTGGAGAACAACCTCCTTTTTTGTTCAAAGTGATAAATTTGGTATCAGCTCTAATACAATCCTCTGTTCAGGAAGAGTGGCTGTCTGTGTGCCTTACTCATGGCCTTCAGCTAATTTTTACTCTTATTCAGGTGCTGCAACACTTCTACTTGTGTTTTATTACATGTAACAAAACATAAAGCTAATTTTTCATTAAATAAGATCATGCTTATACATCCTATGCTAAGAAGGAAATGTTTTATCTGATAAAGATATCAGGAAGCCTTGAAGAAGGCCAAAGAACTTCAGGAACTGAAGGAAGAAGATGAAGAGACACCCAAAGAAAGTCATGAGGAACATGAAGAAAGTGAAAATGAAGATGAGATAAAAAACCTGAAAAGCAGGTGAGACAGGAGTGTAATATGTCCATACAAGAGAAGCCACTTTTTTCTACTTGTGGTACCCAAGCAAGTGTTTTATCCTGTCCTTTTGCCGTGTTTTCCTCCTGGGGAAGCATATTAAAATAACAGTATTTCCACAGAAAGTAATATTCTAACACAAGATAGTTGCAAAACACAAAACCTTTGATTTTGATATTTCAGTTAAAGCTGTATGTTTACATTGAGATGCTTCATCTTGCTGGTCTTTGGTTCTGATTTGAGGTAAAAGAATGGTCCATAAAAGTTCCTTAGATGCCAAAATGTATCCCTGTGTGAATATGTACTGCCTTATAAAGTTTGTAACTCAGGAGCACAAACTGGTGCTGGGTGTCATTCCTGTCACTGGAGAGACACTGCATCCATCTGCACCCAGTGCTCTCTGTCTGTACATTACAGAGGCATTGAATGCTGGCCAAAGCCAGTAATATGTCCAATCCCAGGTTAAGGCAGGGATCCTTGCCTAATCCAGAAGAATTCCTTTCCATTCCATGACCATTATAGCTATAAACATCTGTTGGTTTGAGATTTCAGCCGCCTTCAGAGAGCAACCATCTCATTAGTCACGACACTCTTGAAAAGAAATGTTTACCACATATTCCAATGTTTAATTTACTTGATCAAGGTATGAACAGTGCAGAATTTTGCATGATACCAGGCTCTGAGATTTGCCAGCTGACAGGTGGGAGAAATAGGAGTCAAGTTTACAATCCCCAGCTGTCTCACAAGTATTACTCATATGGAATAGTTGGAGTTGAAATATCTGAGTGTACAGCTCTCCATAAAAGAACTCTACAGTTTGATTCTTCTTTGACAAGGTGTTTGTCTAAGGAAAAAAGATGGCGCCACCTATGGCATCTTCCAAACTCAAAGCTCAAGATGAAAAGCTCAAGATGAAAATATTGTATTTGATTAATATATAATAATTTTCTTTTCATTTTACAGCAGACTTGAAGTCATCGTTAATTATTTATATATCCTGTACCCCAAACTGTGCAAACACTGGAACGTGGTGTGGCTTGTGGTGGCTGCAATAGTCATTTTTGCTGTGGTGTTGGGAATCTACCACTCCTACAACTCCTGTGATGAAAAGTCAGAGGCAGCTGAAGGGAAGGCCAGCTGCTCTGCGGCCCAGCAGTATTCCTGGTGGAGCTCAGGATTCCGGCAGCCCCAACGCGCGGAATAACAGAGGGACAGCCACGCCCTTGTGGTCCCTGAGTGAGTTTGTGTAGTAGAGCAGCGTGTTTAAAGGTAGTGCTTAGTCATCCCTGTGGCTGCTCCACTGATCCCTTAGGCAAGTGAGTTACTCCACACCACCAGGTTTGGGATCCATGGTGAGCATTCCTTGCTAAGATGCCAATCTGATCAATAATCCTGTCTGTCCTCTTATTGTCAAGGACTCGTAGAAATAAAGTAGTGTTGAATCATGGTAAGGTTGTGGCAGTAATCAGCAACCTGCAAGACATTTAAAAGAATGATTTGCACAGGACATTGACATTTTGAAGACCATCATAAAACCCACATTTGCAGTTAATGCTTTACTTTGCATTTCCTGAATTTACTGTTGATTGTTGAAGTACTAATTGCATTTAGTCCTTTGGGTTTTAAGAGGCTAATTCATTTCCATATTCATGACTATTGGGCAGAAATAGAAGCACTTCCATGGAAGAATATAATTATATTCTAAGACCAAATGCCTTGCTGCTAAAGTCATTTTATAAGAGGAATTATCTATATGATTATTTAAATGGAATGCTAAGTACATGCATAAATGTTTTTTATGATATGTTTTAAGAATGGGACCACCAATTTTTTTTTAAATGGGGTACTCAACAGAACTTAAAATGGGATCTAGGTGGCACAGCTGAAATAATCCAATGAGTCTGGAAACTTCTGCTATATATAAAAGTTTCCAAAAATGAACGTATGCCGCTCAGTGTCAGTACTGGTTGCAGCCAAAAGTGGTAGCTGCCTGGAAGGGTCCATGAGCTACCCAAGCCCAAAACACAACAGTCTTGGACATGGGAAGCAATCTTCAATTCTTGATTGAAAATGAAAACAAATATCTTCAAACCTCTGTACCACAGCAAGTGGACTCTGCCCTCCTGCAAACACTGGAATAGGCATTCTTTGAGATCTGCAGCAGGAGCAGAGCTCTGAGAGCAGCCAGAACCCAACCAGTGCCTGCATGAATCAGGCCATGGTGGCAGTGAGGCCTTAGGAGAGCTCACTGTGTTTTCAGTAATTCATTTTCAGAATCTGATGCCAAGACCAAAACTGATCTGTTACACTTCCAAAGCTGAACTCATCTTTTGCCCAGATTTTTTGCCAGTTCTTCCTACTTGGGAGTTGTGAGTTCTTACACAAGAATATGAAAGCCTGAATTTTTCGGACAAGCAATTTGAAAATGGTGAAGGCATTACCTGTACAAAACCCAGCACTTAGGGCTGAGTCCAAAATGTGTGTCAGTGGAGGTGTGCCATTTGTACCTGCTGAGCACCACTTCAGAGGGAAGGTGAAGCATGTTTGTCTCTCCATAGCTATGGCCACAATGGCAAATCCAGTGTGACCCTTGATTGCACTCCTGTCCTGCATCCTCCTGGCATTTTCTGGTTGAGAAATGGGTCTGTTTCCCATCAGAAGGATAAGAGTGTTATGAAGTACTGTAATTTCAGTTCTGATACAGTCAATATTGTCCTGTCTTCTTTTGGTGGAAACACTGAACTTTAAGCTAACTGTCAAAGAAAATAGGTTTCTAACTCAGCCGGAAATTTAGTTCACATACCTGGCACTAATAACAAATATCCTGCTGGTGAATTTTTGTTGGCCATGTGTTTCTTAGAAGATATTTATATGTGAAAAGAAAAAAAAATAAAAAAAAAGCAGACCTCTACCACATTTTCAGGGGGTGGGGAAGAGAGTCTATAAGCAACTAGAAGGTTGGGGTTTTTTTTTATTTTAAAGTATATATATTGAGGAATACTGTGCTTAAGGAAGTTCAAAAAGGATAACGGGGAAGTGTGATTTGGTCTAAAATTGCAATTGGTAAAGAATAAGGAGAAGGTTTCTTGCAAATTACTTGGAATCTGGTTTAGTTAGAATTTCTGACTATGAAGAATTACTGTGACCTTTCATGTACTTTCAGTATTTGAAGAAACTTGTCAGTTGTTTCTTGAATACTGTACTAAAATCAACTTCTTTAACTTATGATTCTTTACAAATAACATTGGTATTTTAATAAGGCAATAAAATTGAAAGTAATTTCTCCTAAATATTTAGATTTTTCTATGCCAAAAATTATGGCACATATTTATGTGATTGTGGAAATGTTGGGCTGCCCTGAAGAAAAATAATTAACAGTGCCTGTAATTGAGTTAATTTGTTTTTATTTACTTCTGCACTGTTGTGAGTCCAACAACTTATTTTAAATACACACGGAAAGTTGTTGATATCAACAGAACTCTCTAATTGCTTAGTGCTAAGCATATGAAAAGGTCTTTTTGGTCAGTGGGTGAATGAGGTCTCCATCCTCTCTTACAATTCAGCCCACTGGCTTTTTGTGAAATCAGTACAAAGGGACAATTCCCATAAGTAGTTGTATTGATTTGAGCTGAACTACTTGCATGTCTGAGGTAAGTATAATTTAGCCACAAATGAACTGAAAGAGGCAAGAGATTTTAATGGGGGTGAAACAATGAAGATAAAGTTTACTTTAAAAAAAAGTTCTTTTTATAACTATTTTGAGCAAACTGTCCACTAAAAATAACAAACCACAATGACTAACAGCACACTAAATAGCTATGCTTATATTTTTCAATTATTTAATTAAACACCTTTTGTTTAATAGGAAACTAGATTAAACTCAAAAACTATTCTAACTATAATTTTATCTGTTGGATATTAGTTTGCTTTATCTGGAAAAAAAAGCCAAACAACCTCTTCTGTGTTCAAAGATCACATCAGATAACAAGAAACAGACCTATTATTTATGCTATTAACACTGAAATAGTTTTCTTGAGGTGCAATATTTATTTTTATGCTTTAACAAGACACATTTATGGTTTCTCCTGCACAGCACAAATGTTTCTAGCAAAAGGAAGTTCAAAAGGGCACTATTTTTGTGTATCATATTTAAATTTGTAATATTGTAAGATTTTGCACAAGTGTGCTGGTATTGTACTGTATAGTATCACATACTTGAGTTTTGAAATAAAATTATGGTTTCAAAGTCCTCAGTGTTTTTACCTTAAAGATTTGGAGTGCTGTGTCTGCGTATTGATGGCCGTGTCCTCATGAAATAAGTCCTGCCTTGTCTACACTGTTACGTGTTTGGAGGATCTTGCTCTTAGTCTTCCAGTTCTTCAGGAAAATGGTACAGAAGAGGAGAACGAGCTCCTGTGTCAATGGAGAAAGTGTTTGGAAGCAGGATCATCATCATCCTTGCCATGCCCTAGAAACCAGCTGAGAGAGGAAGCTGAAATATCCTGGGGAGAGTTTAACTCCTGCTTCAGGGGGAGGCCATGTGTCCCAGAGGAGGCTGAACATGGGAGCCACAAGGGAAATTGTAACCCAGAGATTCTGGGGGAAAGGTCAGGAGTTTTTATTTGCTTTGTGGACTTGGGAGGTCTGGGAAGTCTAGTGGGGAGCAGACTTGCCTGACAGTGGGTAGGAGTCAATCCTAAAGTTCTGAATCTCTGATGGTCCCCCCAGGGACAAACTCTGGGACATCAACAACCTGGAAAAGAATTACTGTTTCCATGGACAGACCCTGATATTTGAATTTTCTATATGAACAATTTTTTTGTTTCCTCTACTGTTGTTCAGGTTTCAAGGTTCCTTTTGAAATTATTGTAGAGAACAGTTACATGTGTTCTGCCTTATCAAAAGTTGTTAGCAATTCTCATCAGCATTTTAAAACATGCTGACATAAAAGGTCGGGAATTTTTCATATAGGTTACCATAACTATTTAGGTCAAAGACTAATTAATCATTCAGCATAGATCTGCTTTTTTTACCACACTGATTATGAAGAAGACACACCAAAAGGTTAAAGACCTTTTGTACTGTTACAGTCCAGATAAGTGATCTTCCACACAGTTTTGGAGCAGCTGAACTATAAAAAGGAAGAAACACACAAAAACCAAAGTTATTTCAGTCTTGCTTCCTCATTCTAAAATTCTGTTCTCCCTCTCCTAATCTGGAAGACCTTGTGAAGGAGCTTGTATTGTTTGGTGTTGAAAGATGTTTATCTCATTTTTACAGCTAAAAGTCCTACTAAACATCAAGAGTTTGACTAAAGGAACTTAGCCATGGTACAAAATGTTACGATCTGGCAGGACAAGTAGTATGCAATTTTAAAATATCAGAAACCCAGCTATTTGTTAGTTTTCATGGTAGGAAATACGTAGCAGATCAAGGTAAGTTTTTTCAATGGAAAAAAAATGTGTTTTTACAACCACAGTATGTAGTCCTTGAGACCTACAGAATAACTAATAATTAGTTTCTGCTTCTACCTTATAAATGCCAGTGAATCTTCTTACAGCCTTCTTCAAGCGGGAGCTAAGTCTGATTACAGTATCTGACTTTGCCATGGCTTTGTAGAAGCAGGTGAGTACAGCACAATGAGGGAGGGAAACAGAAATTGGAGCTAGAACTTTGTCTAAAGATCTCATTGAGTTTTACCAAATTCAGTTCCAAACCACAGCCCAAACACAACCTAATTTTCATTTCATCATTGCTAATGGAGACATGATCTCACTGACCCCCAGCATTCTCTTCAGGCCCTGTCTGTGTTACAGAGCACCATCTAATAACCCTGTTACATGCTGCTGCAGGAGATGTGCCTGTGCCCCATTAAAAGTTAATGCTATCTCATGTATTGACCGGGGACTTTCTAAATGCAGACCACAGTTTAAAGAGGTAGCTTTACACTGTTACACTTGTGTTTATAGGACTCTGAAGACAACCTGGAGACAGTGGACATCTAAAAGTTTGCTGAATCACAAGTTGAACATGATGTAAGAAAATCATACTGTTGCAAAAATAAAAAGACTGACACCATTCTGAACTGGTAAAGCAGGTATAAAGCAATTTATTAATTAGTCTTGACATTGGCAAGGTATCACATGGAGCAAGAGAGTGAGGCAGCAGGGGTTTCTTAGTTGAAGGAAAACTGGGAGCAGAGGCATAACTCTTTAGAAACATAAAATAGTTGCAAAACATAAGGGAGTAAAGTATCTTCCATGTCCATTGCCAGCAGGAAATAAGTGATAGGCTTGTACCAGGGAATAGCTAAGTCAAGTTAGTGTAGGGAACACCTTTGAACCGTAAAGAACAGTGAAGCACTGAACAAGAGCATTAGAGGAAATGTTAGGAATGTGTCACTGGAAATCTTTGAGAGCAGGTTAGACAAACATCTGTCAGGAATAACGTAGATACAGCAGACATGACTGACACTAAAGGAAGGAATTAGCCCATACCGTGAACTCCATTCCTGCTCTGTGTTTATTGGAACCTCCGGAAAAAAAATCTGCTAAGACTTCTTGAAACTTATAAAATTATAGCTGTGAGGACCATCTGTGATTTGAATCAATCCAAGGGAATCACTCTTTGTTGGAATGTCACAGAAGGCAGCAGTGATTTGAAGTGGCTGCAACCTCTGTACCTGTGGTCTCAAGGAATCCCATTTACAGCAGTGTATCTGCAAATCTCGTAAAAAATAAGTTTCATATTACCTCTGTGTTATGGGAACTACTTTTGCATTGGAACTCTAAGGAAAAAAAAAAGTAAAACTCCATCAAGGCAAATAGGACAATGGGGAATGGATGCCCTTCCAGTTCCAATAAAAAAGAAAAATCTTGTGTGGCATATTGTGATACGATAGAAGATTTGTTTTATTTACCAGATGAATAGACAAACTGAATAATGATCTGTTCATCAGTAAAACAGGAAAAAACAGCAAAAGAAAACCTTCTTTCGAAGTGTTTACTGACCTAGCAGTGTAACAGCCTTATCTCCCTTCCTCAGCCGTGCTTCTGAATCAGCAGCAATGACATTTTCCAGCAATCCCACATGAAAGCCAATGGAAAGGGTGATGAGGGATTTCCGCTCCGTGACCTCGCCCTGCACTGGGACAGCCACCACGCTGCCTCTGCCATTCTTTCTATGAAGCACTGCACTGACAGCTGGAGTTGCTTTCCAGAAGTCATCTCATCATCTGACAGCATCCAATACCTTAACTTTCCTCAGCACAGGAGACAAACTACCTTGAATTTCCTACTTTTCTGAGTTTTCCAAGCTGGTGGCAATGGCAAATTATCTTGGAGTTACCTCAGCAGTGTCTTCCATCTGGGTTATGACATTCCTGGCTCAAAATTACTTTGTAACAGGTATGTAAAGTTCCACTTTTTAAAGTCTAGAAAAAAGTAGCTGGATTTACAAAAAAAAATGTGGAGAAGGAGCATGTGTAAATGTGTTTCTGGAAGAGAAAGCCACAGGGTGTTGAGAATACAGTACAACAAAAACTGGTATATAGGGAAACTTTCATTGTTGATATAATGCAATTGTTGAAAATGCTGAAGCCTTTGAATCTAAATGCCACAAAACTGCTTATTTTAAAGATCTGGTATGACATTTAGGATTAAGCTCAGATCCATTGAAATGTAACTTTATTTTGTATCATTTTAAATACCAGAGCAAAACACGACACCAGTTCTCTTTCAAATTCCATTATTAACTTGACAGAATCCATCCTTCCTGCAGTAGCTGCTGGGATATCTGCAGAAGCTCAATGCACACCAAAAGCCTCCAGATGCTTTGCTGTTTTTTAAGGATTTAATACTTGTTCTATTTATGTTAAAGAACACACTCAGTTATTGCAGACAATTTATTTTTTTCACCTACTGAAAGACTTATGGACTGAGTGAATTAGATACTCAAGTCCTGTTGAAATTCCACAGGACTGGAGTACCTAAAAACAGTAGTGTCCTCCAGCAAAACCAACACAGTACAATTTCCACTGGGGAAAGGGAGAGCTTGAGGAAGTGCCCTTCCTTGGAACACCTTCTCATGCACCCTCATGGCTCCAAGAGCTCCAGCTGAGCTCAGGGCTGATCTCCAGCTGTGTCTTGGAGCTGTTTTGTGGCATGTCCTATCCCCTTCTGTAGTGATTTGTTGTCTGGACTTCACACATGCACTCTGGATTTAGGCTGTAGGTAACCTTGTCTCCAGGACAGACTTTCAGGCATGTGTAGAGCCATCTCCTGCTGTTCTCAAAGGGACTTTCTGGGTGTCTGACTCGTTGTCTTGCTCTCTGAGTGGCAATGAAACCTGCCACCATCCCCACTCTGGTGCTGCTGAGGTGCTGTGGGACTGTGCCTGTCACCCTGTGCTCATGGTCCCCTTCCTTGTGGAGCAGCCTCCTGCTTGCTGTTCCCTGACACCAGCAGCCAAAGGGAACTCTAATAAATCAGAATGAAGGTTAGACACAAGGCAAAGAGAAAAACAACAGCTCCCCTCCAAAAAAAAAAAAAAACCAAAAAGGGAACTAATGCACATCAAGGCCAACATCCACAGCTTACAAAAGCTGAACAATTTTCTTCCTGTTCTATGGTAACTTTGTCTTGCTGTGATGTTCTTCTGTCTAGGTCTTATCACTTATTTCAGTAAACCAAATTTTTAACCCAAGACCAAAATACTGAGCAGAATGTGCCAGTACTAGATTACCTAAATAGAGCAGAGCCTAAAGTACAGCTATGTGCAGCTCATGGACCAAAAAGGATAATGTACTTCTAAAGGATTAGTCTGCCTCCTGTATAACTCAGGCATCTTTAGAACAGAGTTCAGAGGTGATTTAATGAGCTATGTAGAGACTTGAAGAGGTTACTGTTCTCTTTTTGGATTCCTTCCTCACAGTGGGAAATTCATATCTTTTACAAAATGTATCAATAAATCGCTGTTTTGTTTTAAAAGGCCTAGCAAATTTTAAGACACAACCTAGAGTCACTTTTCTTACAATTTGCAAGCTAAGTTTCTGGCACTGAATTTCTGTATTATGCTGTGTATCTGTCCTGCAATACACATGTGACAATATTTGTCCTGTAATTGGATGACTAATGACTGTAGCAGTTCACAAGTATCTAGGTAATTTTCTAAGATTTCCTTAAATTCTTTTCAGTCAGCTGCTCATCTTTATTTGAAATTTGTGAAGTTGGTCATTGAGAAGCTTCCTTTCTCAACATTACATTTTTTACAAGTTGTGTTGGCTCAAATCTGAAGATAGGAAAATAATAGACTGAAAATGGTAGACTTGAAGTCCTTGCTGAGAGCACACACACCTTCATGGAGCACCAGGGCTTCTCTGCATCCCCCTGCAAGGTGTCTGGGCTTGACTTATGTTCAGCTCAGGGCTGGATGCAGCCACAGTTTGTCTGAGGGGACTCCTCAAGGCTTCAGTGGCTTTCCCTCTCTGCTGAAATAAAGCCACCTGATTCAAAGACTGCTCTTCCAAATATTTAAACAAATTTAAGGACAGCAGAGGCATCATTTTCCAAAAGCCATTTCCAGCCATTTCCCACATCCAGAAGGAGCAGGAGCTAAAAGCCTGTCTGGTTTCTTAGCACTCCATACAAGCTTAGCCACCTTTGTCCCCTTCTCATCACAAGAGTAGCTTAGCTGCCTGTTCTATGTTTTCATTCACAAAATTCAGTTTAATTTGTGTTGTGAAGAAGTCGTGGGGTGGATTTGGGGGCATCACTTCATCCTGCCTTGAGAGTTTATGGACTGCCTGTATTCTGAAGCACAGATTTTATGAAATACACATTAGTGTAAACACCTAGTGAGTACAGTCTGACAAACGTATTGAGCAAGGAAGTATCACCTGTGGTTATCTGACATGTCTGCAATGAAATGCCAAAATGTTTCATTTGACAGGGCAATTACTGCATGTGACTCCAAAAGGATCTTTTTTTTCCCAGTAAATACTCCCAGTAAAATAAGAAAGCAAAATAGTAATACACTTTTTCCTTATTTGTGCCAAATCCTGAAATTTGGCCTATACCCTTAACACAGATGAGAAAGAAGAGCAGGTGTAACCTGAGCTATGCACTTGCTGGTGCAGGTGTCACAGAGAGTGTGACAGCTGTGGCTATTTAAAAAGCTGCATGAACTACCTGGAAAAGTGTTAAATTCACCTATCTCCTCTTTTCCTGCTCCCTGCCAAACACAGTAAATGGAACACTTGACAGTGGCTGGGGGATGGAAGCATCATGCAAAGCTAGGAAAAAAAGAAAAAAGAGTTTAGGAGGAATAAGGAATATCAGAAATTATAAAATATTTTTTATTTTCTTATTGGTATATAAATTCCATGAGAAAATATGTGTATCTCCTTTTCTGTTATATACCCTACTATCTCAATAACAAGGGTGTAATAACAGTATGAATGCCTTGGTGCAACAGCTAGCTTTAATTTATTTTTAAAAAGAAAAGAAACAAAAAGGGCTATATCTAGTCTAATGACAGTCAAACCATTTGAAATCTCAGACTACTCTGTTTAAAAAATATATTCTATTTTTAAAGTGTCTTTCATACTAGAAATTAGTTTTCTGTTATCCTCAAGTTAGAAACTTTAAAAATGTTCAATTCAGTTGATCTTAAATTCTTTATGAGGAATAAATGTTAATATTCATATACTAACCTTGACTATTTTATGGCCTAATTACAGGTTCCATTAATTCACCTTGCAGGATCAAGGGTATAGGAATTTATCTTGATCAGAAAGCGAATTTCTCAGAAGCAAGTCATGGATGTAATCAATTCAACCTAGAGCTGGCCAGTAAAATACAAGTGGAAGAGGCTTTGAAACATGGCTTTGAAACATGCAAGTATGTGCCATCAGCTAGTGGCCCACTGCCTTTAGTGAGCACCTTCACACCCAGCTGAGGCTGGTGACAAATCTCACACTAAAAGCACTGATCCTTTTTGTTGCAGCTATGGATGGGTGAAAGAAGAATTTGCTGTTATTCCTCGGATAACATCCAACCAGAGATGTGGTCAGGGAAAAACTGGAATAGTAAAATGGTATGCTAGCAAGGATAAAAAATTTCATCTCTACTGCTTCAATTCCTCAGGTATGTAAACATGAAAACTGCATTTTCTGTGTGTTTTGGATTATATTAGATTTTTTAAATCTGCATGAAAAAAAATCATAAAAGTGAGTAATTTCCTGTAATTTTTTCACCCTTTCCCCAGTCTTAAATATTGTCAAGCTGTTCTTAGCTCAGAAACTTCCAAGAAATTCAAAAGGTGAATTCAGTTAATCCCAATTAATAATGTGGTGCTGCCATTAAAGCTCTTGAGGAAGAGTTGTTTTTACCATTACTTAATGTTGACACAATGCTTTTAATGTGTTTTGATTATTTGGCATTATAATTTAAAAGAGTGTGATTGAATCTTTAACCAGGATATCTGTGTGTGGTGTGTCTACTCTTGCAAAAAGGCTACAGTGCGGTACTTCAGGAAAATTGGAATTTTTTTAATAAAGGGAGGTCTATCCATTAAGCCAAATTAAATTATAAGCCAGAACTGCCAAGAGACCATAAAATTAATTAGATTCCTAATTGGTAAAATCCAACAGCTCTTTTTAATTTGCATCATCCTAGGTGTGAAAAGACCTGCCCTTCCCCTCATTGGCTATTTACAGACTGAAGTCCAACAGTAGAACTTGATATAAGTTAGGTGTCAGCACAATAGATCAATATTGTTTCCTAATAGCTTCTGTGGCATTAACTAAAAATAAGTAACTAGAGATATTATGTTCCTATGTGTCTCATATCTATGGTTATTACATAACAAATATTCCAATAATTACCCAAATAAAGCATCATTTCATTATTTATAATCAGTTCCTAGATTTGCCAGTGAGTTTTAGATAACAAGAGCAAGAGGATATGTAAAAAATCCTGAAAGTTTTCAGGAACACTGTGTAAACAAGAGTTGGAAAGCAAGAGAAAGATGGAAATGCAAAAATGTAAAGACCTGTGATCCTGTGAAGAGTGGAGGCTCCAAAGAGACTGAGGATAAAGGTGTAGAGAGAAGGCCTGTGGCACATGGTGATTCACTGCATGAAATGTGTTATTCTGCATTGCAAATGTTGGGTAGATTGGGTAATGCTACAGGCGCAGCAAGTAACTCCAAATTATTTGCTTTGTTTTGCTTTAATTAAAAGAAAATAAATACATATATGCTGTAAGAGTGTGTGAAGAAAGTTAAGCTTGCTCAATGGTTAGCAAACCATTTAATGTATATTTCACATTCTGCAGTCCTTTATCTTAATTTCCAAACTTTTGCCTGTTCTAGGCATTTCTTTGCATTCAAAAATATTTGTCAGAAGCTCATTTTGTCAATTTTCTTGTGCCAAAAAACTTGCCAAAAGCTCTTGAAAAACCATAGTGGAAAAAGTGTCAAGGCCCTGCCCTTTGGCATTTCATTCTGTAAAGGTGACTGCGTCATCAGGCTCCCCATGGGGATTCACTTGGAAAACAGCACATACATCTTTTCCCTGTTATTTATGTTAACCTGGTTGTTACTTTAGTGACATTTTTATAGCTTTACATAATACAGAATTTCACTAGCAAAGCAGAATTTTCACATTTTGACAGGAGCCTGATTCAGAGCTCAGCTCTTCCAATTCCATATAAAACTTCACTTGCACCTACATTTTTATATAGACAACATCCACTTCTATTAATTTATTTAATCTTTGGAAATTACTTCTTTTTCTTCAAACCTGAAGTTTTTTACTTCCCATCTTCTCCTCCCCACTTACAATCAAATCTTTTTCTCCTCCTCACTTACAATCAAATCTTTTTATTATCTCACATTGGTGCCTGATTTATTTGGAACTTTTATGGGCTACATTTTTTTTTACAGGAAATCAAATTAATTTTCCAAGTATCAACAGTACATGCATATATTTTGAACATATAGATAACATAATTGAAATATTTTTGCATATTGGATCTGCAGTTAAGCTGCTCTCTGCTCTGTGGGAAGTTATACTGTCGGGTTTTAAGTGCAGTATTACTCTGAGTAGTTTTCATGAGGGATATAGTCATTGGTTTGGAATCACAAAATGAGTACCTTGGTTGCTCAAAGGAATGTGAAACTATGTGAGTAATGATAAAAGCTGTAAAATCTAGGTTGTAACCACATATTTGAAATGGGATATATTTGGCTGGTTTGGATAAAGCTTTTGTGAACAAAAAAATAAAAGTTTCCAGAATGGAAAGACTCAGGAACAATTTCAATAAATGTGTGTGCTGTAAGTACAAAACTCGCATCCAACACAAGTTTTATGGATTTCTTTTCCCTGCTGCAGATGTCCGGATTAATTCCTGTGAACCAGACCCAACTACACCTCCTTTATCAATGGCATCAAGTGATGTAACTGCATCTTCAGCCTCTGATTTGACTGAGAACACCACAGCAGTGTCTGCTGAGGCTGTGACTGAGGCAGGACAATTCCTGAGAAAGAGATTTCGAGTGGTGTGCGTGACTGAAACGCTCTCACCAACAGAGGCACCCACCACCACTCCAGTGCCAGAGGAGCCCTTCTCCACTGACTCTCCCAAGCTCACTCCCCACCTGGCCTTTAAGAATGATGCTGTTGTTTTTGGAGGTAAAGGATGTGGTGGATATTTAATGAAAAGAGCTATTTATGTAGAAGTCAGTAGTCAAACTGTTCGCAGCTATTTTTATTGCTGCTCCACCATCCATTTTGATATAGCTGAACCTAGAGGCAGAATAGGATTGTTTTGGTTTTGCAGAGCAAGGCTTATAGGGCAGAGGATTTAAAAATCGTTTTTAAGAAGAACTAAGATATGATTTTATACTTTATGATAAATTTTAATGTGAAATTGTGTAAGTTCTTTCGGGTTAATGTGATTTGAGGTAAAAAAAATTCAGAAAAAATCTTGGCAAACACTTTCAGTGTAATGGAAAACTCACCAGCAGGCTCTTTAAAACCAAAAGAAGCCAAGAAAGTTTGAAGGCTAATTGTTCTTGAGATACAAGGTGAGTAAGCAAACCTAATGCCAGCAGTGGAGAAACAGACCAAACATGAGGAAAGGCATGCTAACTGTAAGGATAGTTAATAACAAGAATGTGTTCTCCAAGCAGGTTGTAAAAACTCTCCAATGAGCAGATTAGACAAATATCTGTCAGGGATGTCCTAAACACCAGTTTTAGGCCATCCTGAAAGAAATGAGCAGGAGTAACTCAGCTTTTGATCTTCCTAATATTCTATTCTTCAGTTCATGTGTATGTACTGTTATATGAGGCCGGTTTTAGAAGAATACAGATTTTTGTTCTTAAGCCTTCAGGACATCAGCTTTAAGTACATTAATAAAAACCCTGTGCTTGTATCACTTTTATCTCCAGGTATCCCCACTGCACTTCTTGTACTGGCAATCATCTTCTTCATTATCTCTGTTGTTCTAGCAGTCTGTTATATCAAAAAGTAAGTTGCCTTTTTTTTTTCTTTTGGAGTGAATTAACTCCTAGAGTGAAATCACTGAATATTTAAAATATATACTAAAGAACAGAGAAGTAGTGATGACAACATAATAGTGCTGCACAAATTTTAAAAATCTTAAACCCTGTTTTTTTGCAGATAAGTTTGTTGTTGCCACTCCCTGCTATAAAAAAGGAACACAAAAAATATTGCCTGCTTTTAATTGGTCAATTATGCCTAGTGTGAAACATTTCCAAGTGTGTTAAAATAGCAACACTGAAATGTGCATCAGTTCACACATAAACCAGTTTTATCCTTCTCTTTTCTTTTTATGTCACACGCAAGGTGAAAGCTTTTATTATTGCACTATGATTTTGCTCAGAAAAAAATATTTGTTGAACTCATTTGTCAAACTTTAAGACCTTCAACACAGTGCATTATTAAATGTTACTAAAAAGTGTGCAGTTCTCACACCTTAGTCCAGACAGCTTTATCATTGTGTACCACAAATCCTGAATATGCCTTGTCTGTTTTTAAAAAAAATACCAAAATATTTCTTTAGAAAGCACACTGCTGGAAAAAGTACAATGATCTAGCATGCCACTATCCTCTGAGAGACTTCTGCTTGAGTATGGTAATTTAATTCTAGCTGTTTGAGTGATACTACCAAACTATCCCAATATTTCTGATTTACTATCTTTTTTTCTTTTTAAAGGTACAAGAAAACCTTACCATTTATAAACAAGAAGCAGCAAAAAGAAACAGTTGTAACTACTGCTCTCAAAGAGACAAAATCCAATGACCAAACACCTGAGAAGGAAACACAGAATAATGGAAATAAGGTAGAAGACGGTAAAACTAAGCCTGAGGCCACAGTAAAGTGTCTAGAAGCAGAAGTTTAAAGGAAAGAATGTACAGTTCTTGATGGAAGTATAAAATAAAGCACACAGAACTTGGCAGTGCTTTAAACATAAGTGATTGTAAATACTCATATTTTCTCCATCTTTAACATATGAAACCTTGTTTTTTTAATGATTACATCTTTGGCAACAAATATTCTTGCAGAAGAACATGGTATCCTATTTACTTGAAATAAATTTTGCAAATTCATATTACAGCTCATTTTTCATCTTTAATAAAGAAGCAATTAGGAATATGCTATTAACAACATGCACTGCATTAACTATTTGCATGGAATTTAGATCAATATATAACAAAAAGGTTTTTATGTCTGGCTGGAGGATGTCTGCTAGCTTAATGCCTAAAATAAAAACTGGCACTGTAGCTCTTCCTCATGTAGATTAGCTTATTTCCATTCAGTAGTTGCATGCTGCTTAAAAAAAAAAGTCTGTTTACAAACAGAAGAAACAGTTCTGTTTACAAGGGAGTAAAAACTCAATGGATTAACCCACTGTCAAATGCCCAAAGAAGGGTACAGAGATGCTGATGTGTATATACACACAGCAATGAATAACTCAGATACCTTCATTGTATCATAAGTTACTGTTTTATTTATTGAAACCGTTATCATTCTTCTACATGAGATATTTGACAGAGGGAGACAAAAAAATCCTTGAACAAGACTTATACTGGAGATCTTTTTTGTGTATTTATGTGTGGCTTTCATAATAAAGGTGTCAGGTGACATGGGATGTCTACAGTACTCCCTAAAAAATAAACTATGGTGGATATGTTTGTCTGGACAATTTAGTCTCATGAAAACTGTCTCATGGTAAAAAGAATTGATATAACCATAATGTTACAGAAGTAATTAGTTGTTATAACAACAGTAGCAGTTTATCAAATATTTTCCTGGATAAAGAATTTAGATAACTTATCTTTATGTTTGAAGGAAGTTGTTTTGCCAAAGGAAGTTTTCTTCCTTCATTGGGCAGCATGCGAAACATAGTCTTACATAATAATAATAATTTTTGAAATAGCAAACTAGTAATAGAACTGGTCACATATATTGTCTTTTCAACAGGCTAGGATACTGGGTTATGAACTTGGATATTTTTCATTGACATAAATTTTAAAATTTCCAGTGTTTATACATTCCACTAGTAATGACTTATAGTGTATTTCTATTATACTTACATTATAAATACTTAAGAGATTCCCTGGGTTGTTTTTTGTTTTCTCTTTTTGCCTTTTTTTTTTTTTTTTGATAGTTCAGAAATATTTTATGGCTCCAAGTGATTCAGTGCAGCTCTAAAAACTGCTCATTTCACATGTCCATCAGCAGAATTTTAGCAGAAAAATGTGCAACAGAGGACAGCACTAGACACAGCTTTCCCAGCCAGGGAAAGTTTAAGTAACTCCCCTCCTGGCCAAACATCACAGTAACACCTTGTGTCCTGAATGAAATGCTCTGTGAGGAGTAGCCAGCACAAGTAAGGCCATCAGGAGGAGCCACAGCCACCAGTCATGAAGGTGCAGAGTAGCAAATGGGCCTGAGGGCACAGACAAACGTAGTGGATTCCAGGTAGTTTGGGAAATTTTTAAAATTCCTTCTGCCTCTCTTTTCCATGTTTTAGAGATTAGAAATTACCTGTTTCTCTATTCTTTTCTCTACAGCCAAGAGATAATTACAATGTTGCTTCTGTTCTAGAGCTAAATAAGGGCACTTTTTTCCCTGAAGCATTTACTTGCTAAAAAAAAATGTATCCTGTTTTAATAAGATATTGTCTTAATCTTTAAGTGTCTTATTTTATCATGTACCTTAAAAACTCAGCATTCATCCTGACCTTGCTACTGCTACCTGACCAATGCATATGGTTTGATCTGCCTTTCCATTTCACTACACAATTTATGCCAACACCACAAGGGCTAAAGGTGCTATTACACTGCTCTGTAAGGAATTAAGGCAGCTCTAAGTACTAATCAACAAGTTCTCTATTTGATATTGTCTCTATGTAGTTAGCACAACTCAGTCACATTGCCATTGGAAAGTACAAAACATTCCTGCTCATTGTTCAATGGAATTGCAAGGGATGCACCTACTACAAGGCAAACAGGAAACATTTATTCAAGTATCTAGACCAAGAGTGTCAAACACCAAACCCTTAACTAGAGGTAGCAGAAACTTAAGAGAAATTCTTCATTACGTTTCTGATTTTTCTCAAGTATTGTGCTTTTTTTTTTTTTTAATGAGACCTTCTCAACAGTTCTGAAGCTCCTTGATGTGCCAGAGCTGCTCAAGCACCATGGACTAATAACTCATCCCACTGAGCAGGAGAGCACAGTCTGTTCTTGTCACCTGATGGTAACACCACTCAGATTCCCACACTGAGGCTGCAGATGTTTGCTGACCTTAGGCAAAAGGGGTGCTTGGCCTGCAGGAAACACAGCAAGGTTTCCAGTCCAGCCCAATCCCTGCCTGGAATACAGGGATGCCTTTGGCGTGGGAAGTACGTGTATCCATGTGTGAACAGAAGCAGGCAGGAAGGGGAAGTACTACTCCTTTTCTCCTCTTAAAATTAAGGGAAAAAAAAAAAAGTAGAATTAAATATTACAGCATCAGGATGTGCATGACCCATAGGATGTTCTAGGATGTCTGTTTCTCAATGACTTGTTGTCATTTATGGGTGTTGGGTTTTTTTGTGAAAAGGTCAGCCAGCATTGACCCTTGCCACTCACATCCACCGCCCACATCCTCCCTGCAGACCAGGATTTGCACCAGCAGTTGTGGCCTGGGATGATCCCACTGAGCTAGGCACTCAGACTCCATTAAGCATCATTTAAATCACTATTTAATAGAGCTCATAGTTAAGAGTGAAGGCACTGTGAATCCAGGACAGTGCAGCACTGAGTGTGCATCTCCTGAGGGTGCAGCAAGGCAAAAAGTGATCCTGTTATTGTCAGCCCAGATATTACAGGGTTTTTCTTACACAAACCAGCTCTATACAGCACTTCTGCTATGTGTCAGAATGGATAATAGTATTGCCAGCAGGGCAGGGATTGTCCCCCTTCACTGGGCACAGGTGAGGCCACACACTGAGTGCTGTGACCATTTCTGGACCCATTAGGAAGGACAGTGAGGGACTGGAACGAGCCCAGAGAAGGGCAATGGAGCTGGAGAAGGGTCGGGAGCAAAATTATTATGAGGGAGCTGGAGGTGTTTAGCCTGGGGAAAGGGAGGCTCAGGGATGCCCTTATCACTCCCTACAACTGCCTGAAAGGAGGCTGTGACCAGGAGAAGGTCGGTCTCTTCTCCCAGGAAAGCAGCGACAGGATGAGAGGACGTAGGCTGTGCTGCCAGGGGAGGTTCAGGTTCGACAGTAGCAGGAATTTCTTCACAGAAGAGGTGATTAGACATTGAAATGGGCTGCCCAGGGCCGTGCTGGAGTCACCGTCCCTGGAGGTGTTTAAGGAACGACTGGACGTGGCACTCAGCGCCATGGTCTGTGACAGGGTGCTGTTCGGTCACAGCTTGGACTCGATGATCTCAGACCTTTTCCAACCTAATCGACCCGATGGATGTTCAGGCGGGGCCCGCTCTTCTAGGCGACAACGCCACCGCCGGCTGCCCTGGGTGCCGGGACCGGGACAGAGGGAAGGAGGCCGAGGGCCGTGAGAGCGGCGGCGAGGGCAGAGCCGCCTGGGCCCCGCCGTGAGAGCGGCGGCCAGGGCAGAGCTGCCCGGGCCTCGCGTCCGCCGTGTCCCGGCAACAACAGCGCGAGCCGCGCGCTTGCGTCACCCCCGCGCGCCGCCGCCGAGCGCGCGCCTGCGCGGCGCGGGGGAGCGGCCGCGGCGCTGCGGTGCCCGTGGGGCGGCGGCGGCTCCTCCGCGGGACGTGCCGGGGATGCGGTGAGCGGGGACCCGCCCCCCGCCGCCCCTCGGCGCCGAGCGCAGGGCCCGGCCCGGGGGAAGCCGGCGGGTGCGGGCAGGGCCGGGCGGGGGGAGCGGGCGGGGCGGCCGTGACGCAGCCGGGCTGAGCGCGGCCCGTCCCGCGCTGAGGGCCGGCACCGGGGCGCGCCTGGGCCTTGAGGGGCCGTGCCCGGGGCCGTCCGCGCCGCTGGGGGCGCCTCGTGGGGCTGCGGGTGGCGCGAGGTGTGTGAGGTCTTGAAGGGTGAACAATAGGGAGCATTTCATGGAGTGCCTTGTCGGAAGGGACTCACAGGGATCAAAGTCCAGCTCCTGGCCCTGCACAGGACACCCCAAGAGTCACCCCCGTGTGCCTGAGAGTGTTCTTCAAACGCTTCTTGAACTCTCTCAGAGTCGCTGCTGTGGTGACCACTTCCATGGAGAGCCTGTTCAGTGCTCGACCACCCTCGGGTGAAACTTTCCCGATATCCAGTTCTGCAAACGCCCTCGCAGGTGTTTCTCCCCGAACTTTCCAGTGCTGGGATGTAGGTGCTGAGCTGGGCAGCCCGCAGGAGGCACGGCGCTCCCTCAGGAGCTCGGGGGAGCAGAGCCCGGCGGGTCCGGGAGGAGGTGTCCGCAGGTGCCTGGTTGTGCTGCTGACGTGCGGGCCTGGCCGTGTGCTCACCGAACCCCGGAGAGCGGGGCAGGAGGCGCTGGAGCCTCATCGGGAAGGAGAAATGTGGCTGGAGGGGGAGCATGTGTGGGAACAGAATTAAGTCACAATTCCGGCCATTAATTGGAAGCTTACTGTGGTGAAATTGCATAGTACTTCAGTATGCTCGCTTGGTGTGCTGTGTTTTTCTCGCACCGTGGTGAGATCTCAACAGCTGTGAATTTTGTTCTGGGCGGGGTTAAGCCCAAGTGCTGCTGCAGCTGCCTGTAGGACAAAGTGCTGCTTTCTCTGTGGTGCCTCCCTTCAGGAGCTTGTAACGCAGCTCATGTCAGACTGCTCCGTTTGTGAGTTTAGGTGGATGTTCTGCAGTTCCCTTGCCCTCACACACCTCCGTCTGTAGAAGTCTTAAAAGGGCCTGACACAACTGGTTTGCTTGACCAACAATGAACTCTGCAAAGAGGCATTTTGGGGGAAGTCAGATGCAGGGGGATGAAGGGGAGTAAGTTGATAAATACTCAGAGGGCATGGCATTAATCCTTCGGCAGACTTTTGGGGAAAAAGATTTGGGTGTGAAGGAAAGATGAAGTAATTCGGAGTTGGAGACATTTGAGCAAGTCAGTTCTGTAATACAGCCTGAAGTTGAGTGTTTTGTGTGGGTAGGGAGGTCTCTAAATTCGTTTATATTGACGTAGATTCCTTGGCTTACCAGTTTCAGAATGCTGTGGGAGTTCTTTTGATCTGCCAATGTAAATTTGATGTAAGAAAGCTGATTCCTAATGTGATGTCTATGTATAAAGAGACATTGATGTGCTTACTTGCAAACATTCTGATATTCACACTCACAAATATTTAAAATAAACAAAGATTGTCATAAATTACCATTTTCATCTTAAGATTTTTTTTTCCCATTCCATTGAATGTATTTATATATGTGTGTGTTGGAGCTGAATCTGTGTGGAAAGTTATCTCAATTTAATATAAGTATTGCTGTAAGCAAAATAGTACATTTTTAGTAAGATTATAATGCCACATTCCAGACTCTTTGAAGTGTTCTGCATTGTTTCTGATGTAACTGTTCAGTTACTTGTGTTACTTGTGGAATAATTATTGTAGGCTAAAAGAAAGTGAGGGAGTAGCCATCACAAACACACAAATGTAACTCTCAAATATTTTTGGCAGAGACTCCACAAGTGAATGAGAACTTCTCTCTGCAAAACTGAGGTGAAGAGCTTCACCATGGGTCAACAGATTTCAAACCACACACAAACTGTAATTAACAAGTTGCCAGAAAAAGTAGCAAAGCATGCCTCTTTGGTTCAAGAAAGTGGTTTCCTAACCTATGAAGAGTTTCTGGGAAGAGTAGCTGAACTCAATGATATGTAAGCCTTACTTTGCTTCTTTTTTTTTTTTTTTCTTTTTTGTGTTTTACAAAGACCTTGTGTGCAATATATTATTGTGTGCTGGTAAGCCAGAACTGGCCCAATGGTTTTGAAATTATCCTTCATTTCTTTATGTTTTTATAATGGTTGCAATTACACTTCAAAACCAAAGCCTTTTCTCCTCCTTAAATTCCCTTCTCTGCAGTATTCTTCTTCCAGCAAGTGTTGGAAGAACACCACAGTTCTTAACAGTTCACAAGAGGTGGTTTAGAGTAATCTTTTTATTAGTGTCACCTGTGTCCCTTATTGTTCTCCCTTCCACCTGAAGAGGCAGTGCTGCTTCCTCTGTGCCTGTCAGTTTGGGTAGGAAGGAGGAGCAGGAGCCTGCCAGGGACAGCAGATCCATGTGGGGAGGGTGGCACCTGGGACAGAGCTGTTGGTGACCATCCCTGGCACCTCTGCAGACTTGCCAGGCTGCTCCTCATTAAGGATGAGCTGTGTCTTACTGTCCCAAACCAGTGACCTAGATAATCCCAAAGAACAGGCTGCTGCTTTTTTGTCTGATTTTTCATAGCCTGCCTTTTGCTAGAGCAGCACAATGACAGTAAAAGGAAACGAGCAAAAAAACAGTGTTGTCATGTTTAGCCTGTGTTTATGGTATACTGTGAGAGTGATAAAATGAAGTGGAAACACACACACACTGAATAAGGGCTTTGTAATGTTTGCTGTTTAGCTAAAATGTGAATTTGTATTCAGTTTAGAAATTATCTTGGAGAGGGTCATACTTTCCTGAATGACCTTGAAAAACACACGTCTTCTGGATAGACACATAAATAGATTTTGAAGAACATAACCTGATGTTTTGCCTGAGACTCCAGGCATATATTAGTATTATTCACTCTAAATTACTGTTATTCAAGTAGTTTCTTTCTTTCCAGTGTTTACTTAGACCTGAAAATACTCTGATTCTTGTGGAATAGAATGTTGTGTCTGTGTTCCATTAAAGAAACAAGTCTTAGGTCACCTGACACCTTCACCTGACTACCTCATTATTAATATATACTAACAAAAAGTCACCTCATCAGCATATGCTGGTACTCACAGGCTTTTTTTTTATATATATACCTGTTGAGGAAATAGCTTTTCAGATTGGAGAAGAGATTGTGTGATTAGTGTAATAAACAGTGAGAGTATATGTGAATTTAAATGTCTATGAAGTACAGCTGCTTGCTGGTGCTGGATCAGAAGACTTGCTCAACATTTTCTGAAGTTTGCTGTGCAGTTTAAAGTGAAATGGATTGTGTATTCAATGACATCCTAAGAAAGTCATACTCTATAATTTGATGCCCCTGGGCAGTACTGCTAAAATCTCTTTTAGGCATAGAGAGGGGACAGGTGAACCATAAATAATCACACTTGGCTGAGGCTGCTGATCTTTGCAGGTCCAGCACATGGCTTTAAACTGATGTTGCTTTGTTTTAGTACTGCAAAATTGGCTTCTGGACAAGACAAACATCTGTTGTTTGAAGTGCAGCCTGGGTCTGATTCTTCTGCTTTCTGGAAGGTGATCGTTAGGATAATATGTACCAAAGTAAGTGTGAATTTTTTAATTTGATGGCAGGTTGTATGCACAGATTTGAGGACTGTCAGTTTTACTTGTAAAATCCAACACCTGCTACATGTGTTTTGATACAGATGATGCATTCAAAGATGCTGTTGGAGATAAATTAAGTCTAAATGCTAAGTTTCTGCAAAAAGCACGGCAACAAAAACATACTTATAACTAAGTTTAAAGGAGTGATGCCTTCCAGTGGAGCTCTTACAGCCTTTAGTTAAAATTCAGGTGATTTGTGAGGTCAGGTAATTGAGTGGTACAACAAACTGCCAACTGTAGATTTTAAAATTAGTAGTAGAAATTAATCAGGTTTTCAGGCATTATCAGTTGAGCTAGTGTGCCTGTACATAGTCTGATCCCTTAGAAAACCAACCTAAAGATTAAATGTTTTAATTTATGACAAAAGCTTATGAAGTTTGTCTGTCTAATGAGGAGATTTTCCCCTCTCTATCCTATCCTTAAAGGTAAAGTCCTTTAATGATCCTGAGTCCCCTGAGCAATCTTACTATGTGGTTAAACAAGGCAACCCCCAAACTCTGTTTGAAACCAGCAGTTGGTACTTTTCTGTTTACTCCTAGTTTTCGTTAAGGCAGCCATCACTGTAGGCAGTTTTGAGTTCAGATATTAAATGACTGATTCTCCTGTGCTTGGTTCTAAGTTCAGCCCATTTCTTTGGGTGTTAGGACCCTTCTCACACCTGAATCCATTGGAGTAGTGATGGCAATTGCCTTGCCCTGAAATTGTGGTGCTGCCTGTGGTGTTCCTCACTCTGCAGCAGTGGGCAGTCCTGACTCTTGCTGAGGCAGATTGCAGCTTGTTAATGTGGTGAAGGGCACGGAGGAAGGAAACTGCTGCCTTACATGAGAACTGCAGGGCTGTACAAACATTCTGAGCAATGCCAAGTTAAAACCTGATAAGTAATTGTAAACAATTCTCATGTCTTAAGATAAATAAAACAAGTGGCATCGTGGAAGCTTCCAGAATCTTGAACTTATATCAGTTCACTCAACTTTATAAAGACATCACCAATCAAGCAGCAGGAGTTCTTGCACAGAGTGATACTTCTGAAGAAGCTGCTGAGAGCTGGAGGTCTCTGTCTTCGTGTCAGGCCAGCTTGTGGATGGGAAGGTATTTGGATACACAGTTACAGCATAAGCATTTTGGGAGTTGTGCTTCAAACCTGAACTGCAAATACCTGCTTGTTCTTGATAGCTGCAGAGCTTTGTACCATCACAAACAGGCACAGACACCTTCCCTTGCACCCAGGGAGCTGCAGTGCACTTGGGTTAAATCCTGAAATCTGGGGCTACCACACCTTAGCTTCAGAAGAGCCCTTTTAGAGATCAGTTCTAGTAGGAACATAGTAAAAGCTGAGTGTCCTGAATAAGGGAACAGGAGGAAACGGAATCAGCTGCAGCTACAAATCCAGGGGCTTTGACAGTGTTTGTTTAAACACATTTTGTTATTGTTCCACTTAAACTTTCTCTTCCTCTTACATTTGGCATGTGGAAGTTCCCATCTGTTGCCACTAGAAACCCATCCATTATAATGGTAATAATTTAACTTGCAAGACTGGAAAAATGTGAATTGTCTCACTCATGTCGACCTTCTGCTTTGTTAACCAGAGGAAAAACAAAAGACTGAGGTCAACACCTGCAATAACTTGAGGTCAAACTGAATGTAAAAGCAAGAAGCCTGTCACCCTTTCCCTGTGTGGAAGTGTTGCTGCTACCAGTAATTCCTTACCTTTCCTGAATAAGTTCATGGTCCTAACTCAGTTTAAAGTGAGGTAGAGCTAGGTTTTACAGGAAAAGGTAGTAAATGGTAGAGTTCTCTGTGTTCACCAGTGAAGAGCTGGCAGCCAGGTATTTTCATGAAACAGCTTGAGTGTCACTCTTCAGCTGTTGAAAGGAAAAAGGGGTCACCTGTGTTGTCACTCCACAGAGCCCTTTGGTTTTTCTGTCAGTGGATTGCAGAAGGTATTATTTTATTTTCATTTAATTTCCTGTAAATTGTGAACGTGTTTGAGACAGAACAGGAAAATTTCTTTCTCACACATTTTTCTGGAAATGGTCTTTTGCTTCAAACAACAAATCAAATAACTTAGACCTCAGTTACTTTGGCAAAACAACTTTATATATTGCTAAAGTCAATGAGGAGAATACAAGATTTCCTATATGAGTTTCTTTTTCAGTTTTTCAGACTTGGAGACAGAGGAGATCCTTCTTGTTTGTAAACTTCATTACTTGAGGCAGTATCAGTCACAAATAAAAACAGAATATACTTTGCTAATATGATGAAGTTTGGTGAGCTTGTGTCTTACCCAAGTTTTGCAAGTTACTAAGGAAAATATAAGCTGAAGCACCTTCAAGTATTCTGCACCAATGAAATCTTCTGTATATTTTTCTGTGAAAACCACCCATTTGCCTAAGTTCTTCTCACCTTCAGACATTTTTCAGCTCTGCAAAGTTAGCCCTCACTATCTAAAAATAGCAAGTGTTATCTGTTCAATTCTTAACTTTTTCCCCTAGAATAATACCCCATATCTCTACAACATCCACGTCCTATTCAGAGCATTCAAAATCTGCCTAAGTGGTTTATACATTCTGATAACAAAGAGATAAGCATTTCCTTTGTCTGTCACTCCTTTATTTTACTGTTTCTTCAGGAACTTAGTACTGTGACTAAAGCTGACTTTGCAGAAGCTTTATAAATAGGCCTTGTATAATTGCTTGTGTAGACACCAGCAAATCTCAAAAATTCAAGTGCTATTGAAGGTTGCTACTGAGAATTGCATGGGGGTTGAAAATGAGAAGGGAACAGGTCTAAAGAACACAGTAATTAGGTTTTGTGGAAAATGTTTTCCTCATTGTATGCAAACTGCCATCTGTAAAAAAAAAATCTGTCACTTTAAAGTATTTCTCCAAAAGCAAATTGAAAAGGGAACCCCAAGGACTTACTGAAAGATAAAGTCATGTTGGCTGCTGTTTAGTAGCTGGCTATTCTGTACAGGTCAAAGATGAATCTGTATTTGACAAGCTCCCTTAGATCCCCTAAGCAAAAATTGTCTGGTCAATAGTCATTAAGGTGGACTAACTCCTGAAATGCCATTTTTTTCTAGAATGCGATCTCTGTCCCTCAGGTCAGAACAGGGATTCCCAAATTAGGGTTTTTGGAAAACCCAGGCCATTTGGAACAGTTCCTTGGTTGTTTTGGAAGTGAGCTGTGACTATAAAATTCCAAACTTTACATGTCTGGTTAGGCCAGTGAAAGCTGAGGATGCTCTGCATCTTTTTGCCCTTGAGAAGTCTTGATGGTCCCAGTATTTGAGATACTCCTGCTAAGAACATTAGATAAAGATACCTCATATTTGGGGAAAAGATATAAAATGTCAACATCTGTCTTGGGTAGTGAGATAATTTTTAAGCTTCCCCACCAACAGAAACACCAGGAAGTTTAACTGGAAAAGCTGTGGTAACAATCATCTTGAGAGTCCTAATTTGAGGAGCACTCATATGGAGCATATTGCAAGCTAAAATCAGCCTTTTCAATCTAGTGAGTAGTTCAGCCCCTGGCATTTTGATGCCATCTGAAATGAGTGAAGCTGCATTCTGGTAGTGATCCTCTTGACATGCATGTTTTTGTCTAGGATATAAACCAGCACACAGAAATTTGGAAAGTTCATTATGAATTAGTTCAGCCTGAGGTGCAGTGACAGGAAGGCAGGTTCTTCTTCTGCCTTTAATGTAAACAGTGTTTCTGTTCTTTTCCCAGTCATGTGATATGAAACAGCTACAACTCCTCACACTTCCTTGTTGATATGAAAAGGAATTAACAGAAGCCTTGGCAACACCAAAAGCACCTGACACAAATACGAACACAAAAAATAAATGCACATTCTGGCTTAGTTTAGTTCACTGCTGACATAGGCTGGGATGACATAAGTAGCTCATTCACAAATTAAAAGCACAGGTGTTTCTTTTTGGCCATCAGTAATTATTATGAAAAATGTAATAACTGGTGTAGTTACTGGGGCATAAATATCAAACATCTGGAAGCAAACAGTTTCTTCTCTTCTGCAGGGTTAAACAGCTGACAGATGAAGAGGAATGTTGCATCTGCATGGATGGGCGTGCTGATCTAATCCTGCCATGTGCTCACAGTTTCTGCCAGAAATGCATTGATAAATGGTAATATACACAAAAGAACATTCATTATTTTATAGTATGCATGTTTCAGTTTGATTTGACAGATTCTGTGGTTGCCAAATAATTTAAAATTGAGTAAAAGCAGACTGAAGCAGAAGGAAGGCAGGAAATTTTGTAAAAAAGAGAGGTGAAAATGCTGTTCAGCATTTGTTTTTGTAATTTCTTACATCTTTTTATTCTTCTAAAATTGAATTGTTACAGTCTTGCTCAGAAAATTGAGAAGATGGTATATGCAATGCTGGCATGTTATGCTTCACAAATTTCATTTAAGGCCTGTTAAGACTGTGCAAATATGAAGGCAAGTTGGACTGTCTGTCACTTACTTGGGAAATAACTATCAGGGAGGTTTTTTTCCATATGTTATGCTTTCACTTCAGATAAATAGCATCCAATTTACTCATTTAACTATATCAGACTCTTCCAGGAAGATATTTCTTCTCCATGACAGCACCTTCAAATTTATAACAATGTATATAATGTGTACCTTACAGTGTTCAGCTTCACAGTAGATTGAACACCTTTTCAGCTTCTGCATCTCTGATACACCAGTTCTTGGAAAAGTGGGAGAGAAGAACTTCTTTGTGGAGGAATACACCTCTTGTCTGACCATACAGGCCTTCAGGGATTAGGGAAGTGTCCAGGCAGTCTGGCATTAGGAGACACAGACCTGCTCTGTTCAAAAAGGTTTTTTTTTTTGGCTAGTTAATGCAAATGGATTAACACATAATTTGTGCATAAGAATTTGTTTTGTGGCTTTTTGAAAGACTTACCAGGGAAGTTACTCTTGTAACAAACACCAGGCTTCCACAAGGAAAAAACATTGTAAAAATCACTGGATCTCAGAATACAGCAAGTAATTTCTCTCCTCTGGGAAAATGTCCTAACATCTATCAGCAGGACAGGGCTTAGTTCAGTGACTGTGCTGGAGAGTGGATTATACCCTGCTTTGGCTGATGAGTCAGCTGAACTCCTCACTGAGTTCCAGCTGCACCATGCTTTTTTTTGGTCTGCAATTGTTAAGGTTGATCTCCTCTTAATTAAGGCATAATGGAGGCTCCCAGCTCAAACATAACTGTTGGAGACTCCTGAGATGGTGGAGGGAGTTGGGACTCCACGGGACCAGTTCTACACCTCTGTGGGCTGCATGACCCAGGAAAAGGCTCCTTCTTCTCTTTATCTTGGAAGCCTGTGGAGATTGGTTTCTAAGGACCTCACTTGAATTCCTGAAGATAGGAAGAATTAATTTAGACAGTGAATTTCCATTTAAACTTTCTGGCCATGTAGCCAGATGCATCCTGTCTGACCTGAGCAAAGGATTAGGAGGAACATGATTCCAAATTTTCACTCAAAGAATGGAGCTGCATTCAGAAATCTTCCTCACAAAGAAAGTTTTTAAACAAACAAAATAGATAGGTGGCTTAATCCAGTTAATGTGATCATTCTTGAAGTTCTCACTGGGCTGGGTTTTGTTTGGGTTTTGTTTGTCCTTTTGGGGGCTCTTTTGGCTTTTTCTGGCCAGTGAAAAGCACTCATTTCTGTGCCTTCCTCACAGGAGTGACCGCCACAGAAACTGTCCCGTGTGCCGCCGGCAGGTGACTGGGGCAGGAGACTCCTGGGTGGTGTCAGAGGCCCCCACAGAAGATGACATTGCCACTTACATCCTTAACATGGTGGATGAGGCTGGGCAGCCCCACAGACCCTGACCCTGCCCACAGGCTGATCGTGGCACAACCACTTGAAGCTTTCCTTTTCCCCAGCGTCTGGTTTTCCCCCTCCTTGCCGTTCTTCAGAGTCTGTCCTTCCCCTCTCCTCTTGGCTGCTGTGAGTCTGCGCTGCTCTCCTAAAGCACAGGGGATCTGAGCAAGTCTCTGTGTGTGCAGTCCTCGTTGTTGAACTGTTCTTTCAGCAAACTCTTGGATCATTAACACAGTTTACTTTAACAACAATGTTTGATATTAATCAACAGTTCAACTACTCGATGAAGCAACAACTACAACTGCAGACTGCTGTTTGAGCATCACAGTGTCCTGCTACAGAGATGAACCGTAGCAGATGGCTTGACCTCACAGTTCCTACCCTTCAAAGCAGTCCCTTATTCACAACTAATGTGAATAAAGATGATGAGTTAGCACTAGTGGTTATTAATTTGAAATTTTACTGTTGAAACTTGAAGATGTCCCACTGCCTGTTCTTCAGTAGGAAGTTATTGCTGCTCTTAGTGTTTACAGATACTGAATCTGATCTGTTATGACTTTTAGTATTAATTATTTTAAATCTGTTTTTGAGAGTGTAGGCAGGTCTGTAAATGTACTTGTGCACTTCCCCTTATTCTTCTAACAAGACTTATCTCTTAGAATATTTTTTTAAATATGATATTTAGCATAGTCTTATTAGCTTGGAAACATTAAACAGTTTCGTACACAATCCTAAAAGCAGTAAATCAGCTTCAGTAGTTTTTGATAAAGAACAGCTATAATTATTTCTAAACATTGGGCATATCTGAAGAGAATGCCTTTATTTGAATTAGCACTTAAGGTGTAGTTTAGTGTGATGCTGTGGCTTTATCTGCTCCTCTTGAGTTTTTGAAGTGATGAGATCAGAGTTAAAAGGTATATGAAGAGTTACAAGTGATAATCTAAGTAAGGGTGCTCTACTTTCTATCTACAAGTGCAATATGCTTTTATGTAGCAGAGGGAAACTTCTTTGACAATAATGTGGCTTGGACTGAGATGCACATGTGACAGCTTGGAAAAGGGATATCTCAACTGGAGTGCAACAGTATTTTGTGTCTAGCAGAATAAAGCCTTTAAGAGCTGAGTTTAGACAGTCTAAAATTGTTAGTATTCAGGAAACCCATCTTAGGCCTCTTTTGCATAAATAGTGTTATGGAAATGAGTGGCTACTGTAGAGAATTAATTTTTTATATATATATATATGTATATTAACAAGTACTACTTTTTCTCACTCAGTAACCTCAAGTTAAAATATTCAAGTGTAGCATTTGAAGGAATAACAGCCTAGATCTTGCTTACTGTGAGACTGAATTTTCCTTACCATACCTGTTAAAATTCCATGATGCTCTAAGGCTTAAGTCCTTTTGTCACAGACAGGTTCTGAACTAAATGTGCATGTAGATATGCACATTTAGGTTATTTTTCTTAATTGGCTACAAAATAACTTAATTACATCAATTTGTTAAAGAATGTGCACAGAGTAGGGCACCTGTTTGAGCTTGGCTTGTGACACCATTGTCAGATTTATCATAGGTTTTAAGACAGAGAAGCAACGTACCCTTCATGTTTCTGTCACCTGACAGCCAGTCTGGCTTAGTGTGTAAATCTGTATTTAGCTATGGAAAAATCCTTTTAGGAGTGTATATAGCTGAGAACTCTTTTTTTTTTTTTTTCCCTTTCTTAAGCCATTGATAGCAATGAGATATTCTTCTGTAAATGTATGGAGTGTTTGGTTGCATAAAGGCAGTTGTTGTTTGGGCTGGAAATCGTTACTGGCCCAGGATTTCCCACTAAAACGTGTGCAGGTGTTCCTAATAATGCAGCAGTTTGGTTTCTTTTTGCTTTTTGAGGTTGCATTAGTCCATGTTCAGAACTTTCAGATAATCTTTGAATTTTTTAAACTTTTTATATCACTGGAACAGAAAGAGCATCTAAATGAAAGACTCAAGCTAACTTTATTTTTCAAGTACTTCAAGAATTATACTTCTGAACTGAAATTTTATAAGTTGACTTTCTGCTGAGAACTTACATGAACTTCTTAAAATGTAATTTTATAATGATGCAAACAAGTTAATTGCAGCATAATGACAATTACAATATAAACTAATGCAAAAATTATTTAAATAGTGCAAAAGTAAACTTTGTATTCTGTACAGCTTTTTTAAATTAAGTTGCTGTAATTCACACTGCTGTGATGTAGATACTGTAATGTGTGCCTTGTAAAATAAATGTACTGTATGTTATATGGAGAAATAGATACTTTAACACTGAAAACCTAGTAATTTGGTACTGGTTGGTATTACTTAGTCTGAAGTGCAACATTTAGCAAACAATTTTGGAAAAGGAATCCATTGGGATGGACATGGCAACGAGTTCCAGAAGTTAGACCTTGAAAATGTGAATTACTGCAAATAGCTGTTGGTGGGGGGCAGTGGAATAAATTAACTTTCTTGTGTTAAGTGAACATTTCTTACAGGTTTAATGTGAAATTGTAACTTAAACATTAGAGATGGTATTAATAGCTAAGAACATTCCACTATATTAAACTTTGTGTATGAATTGTGCAATAAAGTTACTTTGGAAGAAATGTTAGAGTTCTTTTAAGCTTAAGGAATCTCTTGGCTTTGGTACCAGAGAATTGTGAAAACTGAGTTTTGATCCAAATACAATTGCATTGTACAGGTGGTGTGGTTAAAAGTGTGGCACTGTGAGTGAGTCAGAGCTGTCAAACTTTGAAGGGTTGTATCAACAAGGTACCTCAATGCAGCTCTGCAAAAAAAGAAACTGGCTCTGATTTGACCTCTTCTAGGGACACAAATAAATTGGAACATTCTGAGATTATGGGAAAAATTAAACAACTCTAATTCTTACAGGACAATATTGAGGAACATGTTTGTTTGGGGAAAGGATTTTTATTTTCAGAGAAGTGTGATACACTTTTACCCCAAGTAATTTCATCATGTTTCTGATGGTATTTTGAAGTTTAAGAATGCTAAGGTTTGGAGTAGTTTTTTCTTAATTTTTCCTTGTTTTATGTAAGAATTAAAATATGTAATTAATGTAACTCTTTCCTCTGTCTAGTTACTTGGCTTATCTGTTTGGATCTTTCGAAGCCAAGGCAGAAATGGGAGCAGAATTCATTAACAGATCAGGAAATTAGAATGGATAAAATGACAGGCACAGCAGGAGGTAGGTGTACCAGAGCAATTAGCAAAGCTTTCTATTTACTAGGTTTCAACTTTAGGCACCCTATCAGTGTGATGATGGGCTGGTTTTTTGGGTTTTCGTTTTTTTTTTTTTGGAAATACACCGTTTCCCACCATTTTGTGGGAAATGGTGTATTTACCTTCCTTCTCTTTCCTTTAAAGAAAATTCTATACATAACTAGAAAGGTTTTTTAATCCATACTCTTTCCAGTTCTGGAAACCAGGCCAGCCACTGAGATCTCTGTGTTACAGGTTTGAACTGAGCTGTTCAGTCCCACCCCTGTAGAGCTGTGTGTGCCAAATGGTTTATTTTTGGAAGGAACATACTGGCCATGGTTCTTTGCGCTTTGCATCCAGCTAGATCCTGGAAGAACAGCCTGTCAGGGAGCCCTAAGGATGTTTGATGTAAGTAGGAGCTGTATGTTAACCTGCCTGGCCTTAATCCTTACACTGCATATACACAATGCCTTGATTTTGTATTCACACACACTGTAGTGGAAGTAACATGACAGTAATTAAGTATTTTCTTTGGGCTTCTGTTGTTGAATCATCCCTGAAGATAACTTGCCAGAGGTTTTATTCTCACTGTTTTAAGTGGGTGAACAGAATTTTGCTTTATGAGTGTGTCTTAAACATCAGTCATTTCAATTTTTGTTCACTGTCATTGCTTCCAATGCTTGATTCCAAGGCATAGAATTCATCATATAGCAATATTCTTTAAGGACTGAAAACTTCTCCTGCTGGATGTGTCACTGGAATTAGCCTGGATGGGGCTGTGTGCTTTCCAGTGACCACAGTGTGTGACCACCAGGTAATGTTTCACTCTGAGCCAGCCACTGTTACAGCTGTGAGGGATAGGACAGCACATTCTGCTTTTGTGTCTGGGCTGCCAAGATGTTCATTAGCAGATCTGTACTTACCTCACTAACCCATCAAAATCCAAATAGTAAACACTGGGCATGGGATTTGTAGGTTTAACATTAGAAGGAATTATCAGTTTTGTGAACTTGGATAGAACTTTGCACTGTGTGTCTGCTGGAATGAAGAATACAATCCAATAGGTGATTAAATGAGCACTCTTCTTTAGTTCAATGCTATTTAAAAATGCTGGGTGTTTTCACAAAGTAAATCTAAAATATTTGGAAACCTGCACCTCTGAAATTTTTAAGTGTAAGAAGGTAGGAGTTTGATACAACAATCTGTGCTTCCATGCTGATGTGGTTCTGACCCATTTTAACAGCCCTTCAAAAACGTTTCATGTGAGACCTGGCAGTCATGGTGAATGACTAATGAAGCAGTGGTGTTGGTGTCTCAGTTTCATACAGACTGTGCTGTTTAACAGTGGTGTTCAGTGCTTTGACAGGTGTGGGGGAGAAATGCACATGTTGTCATATAGTGCAAGGGGTCCGTATTGCCAGAGTTTCGTACCTCGTTGATGTTTCTTGTAGGCAGCTCCTCTAGACACTGACTCTCCCTTGTCCTCACAGCAGCCAACTGACTCCAGTCCCCTCAACCAACCAATCCACTCTTTTATAACTCTTCTGATTGGCTACAGGTGTGGCCTGTTAAAATCAGGCCTGCTCCTAATCCTTAATAACTGGCTCAGCTGCAACTCTTTAGGGGGGTAAGATTACTTTCTATACTACCTTTATTTACTTATGTTCTATCCCCCTGCATGCACATTTCTCAGTTACAGATGAACCTGTGCTCCTGTGCTTCACCAGTGCTGCTCGTGTACAGAACTAAAGTTTGTGTACAGAAAGGGATGATGTTCAATCTTAATCTAAAAATCTTGACTCCCTTTCTTATTGAAATTGTTTGTGTTATGCTTTTCCTCAAAAGTCATGCTGACTGTAGCAGGATATCTGTGTTGATACTATTTATTTAAGTGTGTCACTTGTTGGCTTCATAGTTGGGTTTTGTCAGATAAATCTGTTGTGCATGCTCACACAATCACAGAACCTTGAACTGCTCTGCCCTGAGGGTCAGGGCTGCTTTCCTGCTCCCAGGCTGGGTGCCTTGACTCTCAGTTCAAATCCACAT